ACGGTCCGAAAGGCTCCTGTGATTGCTAGGGCGCCAATCTTCTGAGCCCTGTTCAGCCAGCTTAGCGCCTTTCCCCTACACGCATGCATCCAGACGCTGACCGCGTAGTCCATGACGGGAGCCACTGTCGCTACAAACAATTGTCTTGCTGTTCGCGGGGAGAGCATCTTCAGCCTCCTCAGGGCTAGAACGGCTGTGAGACTCTTGGTTGCCGTCTTGGCAATGTGTTTCTTATAGCGGAGTTCGCAGTCCATTGTTACCCCCAGGATCTTTGCGCTCTTCTTTGGTTTGATCGTGTCCCCTCTGACTATGAACGGCGTTCCGGAGGATCGCTCCTTGTTCCTTGTGAAGTGTACGATGGCCGTCTTTTCGCTCTGAAACTGGGCGCCGCTTCGTCTTTCCCAATCCTGCCTGGGTGACACTGTGGTATCGCAACGCTGACTGGCTCGCGATCAGCCGCTGACTGACTGCAACCCCAACCCTGCCCCGCTCTTGCCTGCAGTATGGGCGAATATCCACATGACTTCCAACCTTGGCAATGTGGTTATTTTTTAATATCCACATGCACCGCTGATCGGGGGATTCCTGAACTCTGATTGGTTCAATTCAAGTCACCGTCAGGGTACTCTATATCGTCGTTGCCGTCTGTCTGAATACCGGGTGCATTGCATGCAACTTCCAATCCTGCATCTTACATCCTACGTACACTCTGCAAGATGGCCCGGCAAACGCTCCGTAAGCCAACGCCAGCGCGGGTCGCGAACGCGGCACAGGCGCGAGCGACCCTGCCGTCCATCACGGTACTTCCAGAGACATCGGAACCGGAAGAACCAGGGCCCAGCGACGCGGTAGCTGAGCCAATGCGCCAACGCGGCCTTACGGCGCTCAGCCGGAACATCAACAACGACGCCGAGTTGGAAGACAACCTCCACCGCATACATAGCACCATTCATGCCGAGCGACCAATGACTACAAAACGGGCCTATGTGCCGAAGCAGGCAGAGTTCCAGGACTTCTGCCGGGCCCGGGGCTTCCAAGATGGGGATACGGTTACAGAGAGCAAACTCCTCTTATTCCTCGAAAAGGAGGCCGTACATCGCCCACTTCGAGGTCCGAGCCGGAAGCTGGTGCCTGGCACGCCGGCCAGTGAGGCTCGCCTGCACTGGCGGTCTGTCCGGGCCTATGTCACGGCGATCACAGATCTTTGGCAGCAACAACGGACCCTTGGCATGAACAACCACCCGTCACCCCGGGAGACTACAGCCCGGGAGTATGTACGGACCCTGCAGCGGCAACACGCAGCCCAGAGCCGGTCTGTATATGCCCCACAAGGGACAAGAGACGCTTCTCGATGGCTACTCGGAGCCGGAGCTCCGGAGGATTGCCGAGAAGCTATGGGCCCAGACCGCCGAGAGCCCAGCAACCACCGAGCAGTGTCTCCGCGCATTAACGGACCTCCTGCTGAGCCACTACATGCTAACCCGAGGTGACGACCGGAGGGCCGCCGAGATCTCAAACCTCTTTACATCCGAATTCCCTGGCGAAGGGCCGACCCGGTGTATGCCTCTGATCTTCACCACCCGCGGCGGGAAGACGAACCAACATGGCCGGCTTGAGACAGCTGGAGCGCTTCGGAGCCGAGACCCTGAGATCTGCCTTCTTGGTGCGCTTGCCTTTTACCTACTCTTTCGGTGGGACCTCTCGCCGGAGCCGTTCCCAGATTTTGGGAGCCCCCAGCATTGGTATAGCACCCGTCTGATCAAGGCCGCTGGTGCTGATCCATCTGCTGGTGTCTCGTACAACACTCAACGGAGCTGGGTTTGCCGGGCTTTCGACTATGCTGGTGTAGTCTCTGCGAAGAAGACCCACGTCGGGCGGAGCTCTGGGGCGAAGACTGCCGAGCTGCGGGGGGTAAGCGAGGCACAGATCCGGCGTGCCGGGCGGTGGAATCCAGACCAGATGGTTGGGTGTTATCTTGATGCTCTGCCCCGGAAGTTCATGCGGAGCATCGCCGGCCATCCGGCACAGATGGGGTGCTTCAACCTACCCCGGGCGGTGCCGCCACCGCCGGCACTTCTATCGATGATCTGGCCGGAGCTAGACCAGTGGGTTGGCGGTGCCCGGAAGCCGAAACATCTTGCCGGTACTGGTACGGTCAACCTCCTTGCCTACCTCCGTGAGGTAGTCCTCCAAGACTCGGCATTCTTGATCGACCAATTCCCCAGAAGCCCGGTACCACCCAGTCTTCCGGCACCCCGAATATCGCCCCTTTACACGCCGGGTGCTTGCCCGGGTTAACGGCAATGAGGAGCCGGACCGGCTTACGCTGCTTACACAGGCGCTCCCGCAGTTTACGGAGCATCTGTTGACAGCAGAGGCACGGTATACAGCACAACTCGCAGAGGCAACAGCCGCTTTAACTGCCGAGATTGCTGGGCTGGAAGCCCGGCTTACAAGCAGTTATACTAACCACCTCCGGCAGGCTCTTGCCGAAGCTACGATCCAGATCCGGCTACCGAGGCAGGGCCAGCGCTAGCGCCAGCGTCAGCACCAGAGCCAGCGCTGGCACTGGCGGGGGCTACGGTGACAATGCCAGACCTCGAGCTCGAGCCACGATTGGCAGACGACCTCGACCTCCGTATCCCTGGCGCCGAAGAGACCCCACCTCAATACCGGATGAGCAGGGCCATCAAGACTGTCGAAGCACTCTGGCACTCGTGAATTGTTTTCCCGGATTAAGAAAGTTTTTTGAACACCAGTCGGCACAGTCCGAGTTGCCGCTGGGGGTCGGATTCGCGCCGACACGGGCTGCCGGCCATGCTAGAGGTATTGGGATGGTGTTAGTCGCGTGACTACCGTAGGCAAGTACTTATACCGTAAAGGTAAGTACGGGGAACAGCATGATACTGCGACGTACATAGTGCCACTAGGGCAATGATCGGAAAATGCAGCATTTCAACAAAGCTTTGCGTGGCGGCACCGTTTGTCCGTCTCACTAGGTGGCTGATGAATGGACATGTCCAGACATGATCGAACGGAAGCCATACCAAGGTTTCTTAATAAAGCTGGCGGTTTGAGCTGATGGCCTCAACTGGGGGTCGAAAACCATGGTGCTCCATCTTTGCATGGTTCGAAAACTGTCGCTCAGCTCGGGTCTAGGCCTGGAGCTGACAACTAGTAAATCAGTAGTTGCGCTTAGCTGGGGTTACAATTGGGACTAGCGATACTAGTACGAATCCTGTGACGGGCACCACCCAAGGTCTGGTCAGCTCGCACATACAAGATCGATATTGCTACAACGAGAGCAAGAGCTAGATGACAGGAATGGGCGTGCCACCAGACCTTATGTACTGGAGCAGAGGCCTATGCGTAAGCATGACCATAGACGTATGATCAGACCCCATGACGTATGCATAACCGCAAGCATATGACATAACCTTGAGAACAGGAACGGGGAATCCCGTGACAAATCCTCCGCCTGGGCGACAAATCTCGACTCCACCAACTGCAAGCAACTTCGAGTGATGCGTGGTACGATGTGAAGCGAGCTCAGCAGCGCCACGACTTAGGGCCTTCACTACTGCGAATCAGAGGGCGCCCGGCTGACTCGAGAGTCCTCTAACAGCAGGTTCCCGGGCCCTTGTTCTTTTCTCCCAACCCTACTGGGCTAGAAACTCTAATTCATGATGGCGAACATTGTTGAACAACCTCAAGTACATTCAAAGACCGCAGGATGAGAGCGATGCAACTATTCGCTATAAAGGACATGATCGTGATGAAGAGGATAGTTTTAGGGAATTTCTAGCAAGCACCCCCCAAATGCCTATGGAGCACCCCATACTTTCCCAAAAGGGACTAGCTCACCACATTCCACAGGCACACAGTGCTAACATCGCCACATAGCGGAACAGGCTATTAATGTCAAGAATGAACCCAGAACATTGATTGAGGCTAACGTTATTCGAAGAATAATCGTCATAACCCAAATCCTGCCTACAAAGACTTTGAGCATGGGAAAGATACACTTGGATCCTATCAGACTGTCTCATCGCTTCCATCCTGGAGAACCAGATCATCCTCCGTAAGCGCGAGTCCGTCAGCCTCGAGGTCCCGAAGTAGGCCATCATGGACATCTTCAACATCTGAATCTACGGGCTCAAGGCCGTCAGCAATGCGCTAGTGGCCTCGAGGGCGAATAGGTCCAGGCTCGAACGTATTCTCCCCAGCCTGGCTTAACCGCTGCAGACCCAGCGATATAGTTCTGATCTCCTCGGCAGGTGTGCTCGTCTGTTCTCCAGAGGTACCGGCGACCACGATACAGTCAGCTTCCTGAGTCTTCTGCTGCTGTGGCTGTGTCTGCTGTGGCTGCTTTCGGCAGCGGCCTCGTGCCTTGCTTTTGGATGCTCCCTGCAGCACCGGCGGGGCTGTCGACGAGGGAATGGCCGTAGCCAGTTCATTCTTAAGCTCGTGTTCGAACGCGGAAGGTAGCCGCTTGGTACTCTTGATGCCTTCGCCCTTCTTCATGGCAATCGCTCCAAAGGGGCGGCCCTTGCCCTTAACCGCGAGAGGGTTTAGCGGGATGTCCGGCATGCTGCTGCTAATCTGCTGCTCCAGTGGGCAGGCGCTAACTGTGCCGGATACTATGCATTGACTGTGTGCTTGTGGAAATGTGGCGAGATAGTCCCTTTTGGGAAAGTATGGGGTGCTCCATAGGCTTTTGGGGGATGCTCGCTAGAAATTCCCTAGTTTTATTAGCCGGGGGTTCGGGAGCCAGCATTCTGGATGGCTGGGGACACCCCACAGCCAAACAAACGCCCCACTAGTTTAATCCGACAAGAGTCTCGCCCTTTGTCAACGTCGCGCTCCTTTCAGTTGATGAGAAGAAACCGGTCGAGAACACGGCGACACCGAGAACAACCTGAATTTGGGAGACGGGCGACCATGGTGCAAGCTCTGCCGCCCACGAATAGCAGCGCCGATTAACATGCCGATTTTTTTGTCTTCTTATTCACCAGGGAGATGGCATATCCGAGAGGCTGGCCCTTTTGCTTTGTGCCCGCGAGCCTACTTCGCCTTGATCGCCGCCTTGTCCGAGTCATCCTCGTCGCCGCCATCTTCATGACGGCTCTGATGCTACTTCAACCTGCCCGACCACACCTTCCTGTTGGCCAACCACACCTGCCTGCTGACCGACCGCCGCCCGCGCATCGCCGCCTCGAGATCCGCTTCAAACCGAGCAGTTTCGACTGGAGGACTGTAAAGCAGCGATACCCGGTCCCTTCGCTCCGAGCGCTGCCTACCGACCATCCGAACCAGCTCCACGCCGTTCAACATGACTTCACCGATTACGTGCACGATGCAACTACCCAACATCGCCAGCAGGCTGTTCGAAGTGCCTTCGCCAAGAGCTGGCGCGGCTACAAGGAACATGCATGGTTGCGGGACGAGCTGACGCCCGTGACAGGCCACGGAAAGACGACATTCGGAGGCTGGGCCGCGACGCTGGTGGATGCGCTCGATACCCTCTGGATCATGGGCCTTAGCGATGAGTTTCACGACGCTGCCGCCGCCGCTGTCCAGCTGGACTGGGCCAAGACAAAGGACACCGCTGCCAACCTCTTCGAAACCACCATCCGGCACTTGGCCGGCCTCATCAGCGCATACGATCTCAGTGGCGAGCCTGCCCTGTTGGACAAAGCTACGGAGCTCGGAGACATGCTGTACATGGCCTTTGACACTCCCAATCGTATGCCCGGCTTCTGGTTCAACTTTCAGGACGCCAAAAAAGGACGCCAAATAGCAGGGCACAACGATCCGTCCGCGAGTCCCTGCTCTCTCTCGCTCGAGTTTACTCGACTCTCGCTCCTTACCGGCGACCCCAAATACTACGACGCCGTCGCCCGCATCACCGACTTCCTGGAGCGGACACAGAACCAGTCCAAGCTACCGGGCATGTGGCCCAAGCTGATCGACTTCCGCGACCAGACCGTCAACACAGAGATTGGCTTCTCCATGGGCGCCTGGGCCGACTCGCTCTACGAATACCTGCCCAAGATGTCGGCCTTGCTGGGTGGTCACCTGCCGAACTACGAGAAGATGTACCGCACCGCCATGGACACGGCACAGCAACACCTGCTGTTCCGGCCCATGGTACCCGAGGACGACAAAGAAGGCCAGGTCGCTCTCTTCCCAGGCGACGCATTTGTCCACACGGACAAGATCAACTACGTCCCAGAAAGCCAGCATCTGTCCTGCTTCGCGGGCGGCATGTTCGGCCTTGGTGGCAAGCTGTTCGACATAGCCGCGCACGTCGCCCTCGGCGAGCGGCTGGCCCGGGGCTGTGCCTGGGCATACAATGCGTTTCCCACCGGCCTGATGCCCGAGGTCTTCAGCGTCGTCCCCTGTCCCTCCATCGACGGCGCCTGTCCGTGGGATGAGGAGCGGTGGAAGAAGGAGGCCGGCAATAATATGCCGAGGGGTTTTAAGAGCGCCCGCGACACGCGCTACATTCTCCGCCCCGAGGCCATTGAGAGCGTGTTTTTGCTGTACCGGATGACGGGCAAGCCGGACCTGAGGGAGAAGGCGTGGCGCATGTTTCAGGCGGTTATGAATGCGACCGAGACGCGGCTGGCTAACTCGGCTATTGCGGATGTGACTGTCACGGGGAAGCCTGTCCAGACAGACTCGATGGAGGTAGGCGACACGTCTAGTGCATTTTCCGTTCTGAATGAGCAATAAGGCTGACCCTTGTTGTAGAGCTTTTGGCTGGCCGAAACGCTCAAGTACTTCTACTTGATATTTTCGCCGCCAGACCTCATCAGCCTGGATGAGTTTGTCTTCAACACCGAGGCACATCCCTTCCGGCGGGCGAAATGAGTGGAACGGCACATTCGTAAGGACACCTTAGCCGAGAGTGTACACATATCGCCCATAGAACCAGGATAGAACCAAAAAGGTAGTATTTCTATGTACAGTGGGGGTCCAAAAGTCTGCGGCACCCCGCATCGAGATCCCCCGCCACACATTTCTTTGATGATGCAGCCCAATAACGTATCTCAGCATAACTTTCCACTACCAAAAGGCCTAGCAAATTAGATACATACAGATGAAAACCCAGGTTTCAGCCATCAATATTTTGTATACCAACCCCTGGCTTTCTTAACCGCAGCCAATCGCTTAGGCATAGAGTCGATCAGCTGGTCAATCTGAGTCTGGACGATTCGTCGTTGAAGATAGACAAGAGGGACGTTAGTAAATTCAGGGGTGAACTACAGAGTCACTTACTCGGATCAATACCTCCATATTCCCCAACCAAAAGCAAGCAAACTTATATCTATCCATTGCTACAGCCTTCGTCAGTGGGATTTCGTCAGTGGGATTCTCTTCTGTGCACGCCATTTCCGCATGCGATGATGGCGGAGAACCCGGCGGACCGTTGATCGAGAGATCCGAGCATCAGCTGTGTCTATGAGCATTTGTATTGACAGGCGAGGGTTCCGCTTTGTCAACTGGATGATATACCGTTTCTCCCGACGTGTGAGGACCTCTGGCCGACCTGATCTAGGTCTAGATTCGACAGTGGTTGAAGATTCGAACCGTTGAAGTGTAAGTTGGACTGCGGCCCGGCTGACGCCAAACGGGCGAGCGACGGCCGACTGGCTTGCCCCAGCTCCAACGGCGCCAACAATGGCTGCACGTGCAAAAGGTGATAGTTCCTGCCCAGATTGACGGCCGATCGTCAATCTGGCACCGATTTCGTTCAAATTGAGCATGGTGGGTTGGAGTTCTGTTTGTTGGAAGATTGAAGATGCTGAGCATCGCGTCGCGTCGCGCGTTTGATTGATGTGGGGTGCCGCAGACTTTTGGACCCCCACTGTACATCCGTACCTATCGATTTCTTCGACTCGAACCACCGCTCCCTCCCCACCTGCCCGCCCTTCCCCCGGATCCCTGTGCCTCGCCCTCCACACCAGCCCTCCCATGCCTCTCGGCCCCCGTGCTATACCCCCAAAAAGAAAAGGCTCAACTTACCGTTCATCTCTCCACACCACCCCTCGACCAATCTGACCGGCGAAGGGGCCGTCTATAAAAATGTGAGAGAGCGGGAAATATGAAAAAAGGTGGGAGGATGGGAAAGATGGGGTGAAGAAGAAGAATAAGAAGCACACGAGGGCGTGGGGGAGGCCTTACTTATAAGTAGGTCGAAATCGGTCCAAGTTTGATAGTTACAGTAGTTATCCGTATTTTAACCAGTAAAACACGTCCATGCACACAATTTGGCGTTAAACCTGATCCGTACATGTTGCACTATTTTTCAATTCTTTGTTCTGGCGTTAAACCTAACCCGTACGCGTTGGACCATTTCTCAATTTGATTTTTCTATGTTCTTGCTGCGGTATGACGTAGTGACGGGAGTGCTTGCAGCAGATAGTTGATATCGAAACTCTCGGTTTCGGTTCTGCGTTTGCCAAGAAGAGCTTATTTCCAATTGTCCAAATCATGTGCTGCTACCCCAAGCGCTAGCAGCCCTACAAGGGGCAACGCTTGGACAATTACGTCCCCAGATGACACTTCCCTCCGCTCGAGCCTCTTAAGATGGTGGGGAGAATATCAAGACTCCAAAAACAGTATGGAATACCATCAGATCTCAGTTCAAGAACGCGTCCCGAACAAAAACGATCCGTGCGGATCCGGATGATGTGTTCTCGACAGCCCTGGTCCCCAAACGAAGGAACGTCCCATGCGGGATTCGGTCCGTGCAGCAGAGGACCATGTGGTAGATAATGCCTGTTTCCTGACGCTTGCTGACTCATGACCGGCCACACAGTGTTGGCCATACTGGACGTCCATACCACAACCATCGAGCAACGAAATGTATAAGAACCTAAAAAACCTGAGCCACGCCCATGGCATCACAGCTGCAGAGTCAACGCCGTGTGACCTGCGTACGTACAGTCATCCCAAGTCCAATACCTGTAACCTTCTCTTGCGTCATGACCATTCATGACCATTTTATTGGGACCACGTCGAGCGTCTGCGGTACAAGCGATAAGCATATGAGACCGGGTTTACCTAGAAGCGTATCGAAGTTACAGCAAACGAATTGATCATGCCAGATGGTTCCGGATATCGCTAGAACCGGTTAAGCAGTGCGGTTGGAAAAAGAGCGGGGATATCCCGAAGGACAATATCGTCACGATGGAAGCTCTTCTCCTAGTCAACAGTGCCACTGGGAACTAAGTTCTCATTTCTTCGCAAGGCCCAGGCCTCAAACTCCATGATCGACAAAACCCCAGAAAGATAGCAATTTTAGACCGTTAAGTCCCCAACCCGGTAACCCCCGACTCCACGCAATGTCATAATTCATTAAAAAGGCCGCCTCGATGCAAAACCAAAACGCGAAAAAGCGGCTAACCCCCCAAACACCGCAAAAACTTCCCGAATCCCAACAAGACCCCCATCAACACCGACCGTGCGAGCAACACCCACCAGCGGGCACTCTACACCCCGCCTCGGTTCCGCAAGCTGCCCACCCTCCCCAAGCCCAGCCACTTTCTCTTTCCCACACCATTCCCACCACCGCTTCCCCCAGAACTACCCAGCAACACCCCACCACCGACATCACCACCCTCCACCCCACCACCCCCGCTACTCCCACCCCATGACTTCCTCGACGACGGTTTACTGATACTACCAGACGATACCACACCGGCCGGCACTCCACCACCACCCCCACCACCGACAGCAGTAGCAGACAAACCCTCCATCAACACAACCCCACCACCATCCCCATCCTCATCATCCCCCACAGGTCTACCCGCAGCCGCCGCCGAGCCAGAACCAAACCCAGAACCTCCTCCGCCGCCCTTATTCCTCAAGATAGGCGGCGGCGTAGCACCACTAGCCCTGTCCTCGTCCGCTGTCAGCGACCCACGGCGCACCCACGAGGGGACTCCCATGCCCGTCAGCAGCGGCGGCGGTTTAAACGGCGTCTCGGTCGGCGGCGCACTCGCGGGCGGGGCGGGTATGTGGTCGACCGCCGAACCCGTGGAGCGGCGGAAAAAGGTATTCAGGCCGCGGGAGCGGGGGCGAGAGGTTGTCGGTGGGTAGCGCCGCTGTTTGGGGAGAGCTTGTTGGAATGGTGTGGTGGTGATGGTGTCCTGCTTGCTTAAGGTTGTGGCGGTGATACCCTGTTTAGAGGAGGGAGGTGGTGGGACGAGGACTTGTTTGGGCGGGACAGTCATGGCTCGGTCTTGTTTCAGGCCGGGCTCGGTGAACTGGCGCGAGGGAGGAGAGCCTACGTTGGTGCTGCTGCTGCGGGCTCGATTGCCGCGCTGGGGGCTCTTCATCTCGGCCGAGGTGGATGGGTCGGCACACGGCGGCGACTGCAGGATGCTTTCCGTTCCAGGCGTTGCATCCCCAGTCGCCCCGGTTCTGGCGAGGAGGCTGGAGCGCCTGTCCGGCGGTGGCGGAGCTGTGGGGGCTGCTGCGAGGTGGGGTGTCGTACGTCCCGCGCTGAGCATGGGTGGTGTCGGGACGGATGCGCTGATGGCATCCAACATGTCTGCAATGGGCGTGGCTGAGGCGTTCTTGCCGCCAGCACCGAGATACCCTGTTCCTCCGAGGGAGCCGAACATCGCATGCGCGGCCCATCCCGCGTTGGAAGTAGGGAACGCAAAGAGATCAGGCGAGATACGGCCATACTTTGGGCTCGTGCGCGCCTGGGATATGGAGCTCATGGGATCCAACACATCCATGCTCTCTGGCTTCATGCTTTCGCGAAGCCAGGTATCCACACTCGACGTGGTCGAATCTCTGCGATGAGTAGCCCTAGGCCTTGCGTCGCCGCCGCCGTTAGCATCGCGAGTCCGCGCATTCGCTGTCTCAGATGGCGGGCGAAACTGGCGGTTATCGGCCGCCTCCGTAGGGGCATTTGTGGGATGAAGATGTCTCCGGCTCTCAAACGCAGTGGTAGAGAGATGTTGAGCGGGCTGGGTTGATGAATTCTGCTCCTCGCGGCCCGTCGCCCTCAAAGTGCTCGTCTGGAGTTCACAGGTGTGGCTCCGCTCCTGGTCCGGACTGTAGTCTTTGGACGGTGTCTCGTTCTGAGGCAGCGTCGTGGTTGAGAGCGTGTCGGGTGTTGGGGGAAGGGTTTGCAGACTGCTGAAGTGTCCCTGGTTAAGGACTCTCTCAAGGGCTTCTCGCTTTTCCATTTTGGTTTTGGGCTGGGCATGTGTGGTGGAGGGTCGGGCCAAGGGTGACTGATCTTTCTCCTTGCTCGCGGTCGACGGCCTTGGTGAGCCTTTCGCGGTGGCACGTGCGACTTCGAGCCTCTCCAGCCGCTGCAGAGGTGACGGCCCTCCATCCAGGACGTCGCCAATATTGTGGTATTGACCACTCGCGGCACGGGAACTGCTTGGTCGGTGCTGCCTCGATGGAGTCGCAGTCTTCACCCTGGTCGGAGATTCAACCGCTGACAAGGAAGGCCGGGACGAGCCGTCCCAGGGCCAAGGACTATTCCCAGGCGGCGAGGAAAGGTCGACGGCCCTACCGTGACCGTAAATGCTAATAAACGAACTCTCGCTGAGTTCGCTCAAGGCCGGGCTGGCCAGCCTGGGGTCCATGCGGGTGGTATCGGGTGTGCCCTCAGTTAGGCGGGGGAGGGTGAGGGCGCTTTCGCCGGCAAGGGCATTGAGATAGACACTCCTGAGGTTCTCGGTGTTTTCACTCCGGTCCGAAACGAAGCTCGGCATGCGAATGGGTGTTTTGGCATCGCTGAACGGTGACGGGTCAAATTTCGTGTGCTTCCTTGGCTCTGGCGTCGCAACACCCGAGTCAATCGGAGGGTATGCACTTCCTGCTGCCTCGACTTGGCGGACCATTTTCCTCTCGAGGAGGAGCTGCTCGACACGCTTCTCCAATGCCAGGATCATCGATATTGCCTCCTCCACGGCCTTGTCCCGCTTTTCTAGCTCCTTGACCAACGAGTCATTCAGGTCGTCTCGCTCCTTCGCCTCGCGCTCCAGTCTCTCCAACCGCTCCTCGAGGGCGGTTTGTCTCTCCCGTCGGTGGTACAGTTCGAGCTTGAGGTCAAAATTCTGCTTATGCAGCGTGGATAAGGTCTGTTCAATCTCCTTAACGCCCAAACCTTTCTTTGCCTTTGCAAGGTCGAGCCCTCCACTCGATCCCGGCCGGTGGCTGCCGGTAGGAGAGGGACTCCGCACATGTCTGGAGCTGGTGGAGGACGAGAGCATGTCGGTGCTCGATCGGGAGGAGACGCGATCGTTTTCGACCAGGCGTGATCGTTGGAGTCGTTCAAGCAGGAGCGGTGAGATGGTGTAAACAGGCGAGCATTGGGAGTGTTCGGTGGGCGTTGTCTGTATGCGGTGTGTCCTTGCCAGGCTGTTGCCGGTCCTGGCTGGGGCGCCATAAGGGTCCATCTTCCATTGACGAACTTGGTGAATGGGATTCTTGGAGAATACAGGTGAAAACTGATTCCGCAAGGTAAGAAATCAGGGCTGGTAGAATGAGAGAGACAACCTGTCAGAAATGCAACAATGATGAATGCCAAACGCAGGAGCTGCCAGCATTCCATCGTTTGGGTTCGTGGTGCTTGTTGGGAGAAATGAAATGGCGTGGAGAAACCCAAGTGCTTGCAGGAACTGCTGCTGAGCTTCAAGGGTCCAGCTCCCAATCGGGCTAGCCTCAGAGGGAGGCAGCAGTGGGTGTGTGTGGGACCCTGAAATCTGCAGGCGGCACTGCCGAAAGGCATATGCCGTCAACTCAAAGTTTCAACGTCGTCAATCCATTCCACTCGATGAAGAGGTTATCATCAAACTGGAATTAGGTTGCCAGGCCATCAACAGTTATTGACGAATTTCGACGTAAAAAGATCGGCTTTTCTCGAACGTGCATACCTGTACAAGTCCTGTTTTTTATCACCTCCGCACATTCGTTTCTCTTCCCGTTCCCCAGCCTCACAAAGCAAGGGACTGAGGGGCCTGCCAATCAGCAGGTTCATCAACGGATCCCAGAACCGTGGGAAGGATTCAAATGCAACCAACTTCCAGGGGCTCACGCATCTGGGTCGCGGGGAGCCTGCAACAGAAAGGGGTCTCAACGTCGATTCGTCCCCTTTTGACTTGCTCAGAGCCAAGCCCAGCCAAGGCCAACAGTTCGCGTTGAGATCACGGCAGCCCTTGTTTTCAGCCACGGGAATCCATGGCGCTCCGGCTTGCCATCGGGCAGGTTGATGTACTGTAGGCAGTCCGGAGTAAGTAAAGGAGAAAATGCCATTGTCCCACTCCGTCGTAGAATGTTAACGTTGCTAGTCTTCAGGTCTTCGACATGCCGTTGGCTGCATCCCCGCCTTGACCTCAATCAGCCAAGGGGCAATCTACGAAGTGGCAGCCGATGTATGAAGCCTTTCTTCCTGTTTCCAACAAATTCGCCCGTCGAAGACCTTTCCCTCTGCTCGCCGTCATTCGGCTGGCAGCGAGCCTCCCTTGCCCATGCGTTTATGCAGGCCAAACCCCACACATTAAGGCGGTCAGACGGCGCTGGCCAGTTGGCATTGCTGGCGCAGGAAGATGACGGCTCACTTCTCACATCTGCCCGATGCAGGACTCCACCGGCGATTCAGCACAGCGCAAGATCGTCAAACAACCCAGCGTGCTCGCCCCGCATCTTCTCTTTGATAACGCTGCTCGTGAGCTCCATCAACCGGTCGGCCAGTTCCTCGCTCTGCGACATCTCACTTCCCGGCTCCGGGATGGCGGGCGCGCACAGATACTGACCCCCCTTGTCCGCCACCGTCGCCGCGAACACGGTGGGCACTGCGCCCTCGAATTGGTCCTTCTTGAAAGGCTCCACGAGATAGGACATGGCGAAACCCCCGAGTGGAAACCTGCATCGCCACCGTTAGCAAAATGCGCACTTATCCGGAACTGGCATGAGGTTGGGTAATTACTAACGCTTCGAAGATGTCCGTCCGGCTCTGCTTGGAGCTAACAAACCCCGGATGTGTGGCGTTCATGACGATGTTCGGGTGTCCGTTCCTCGTCACCTTGCGATCAAACCACCGCGTGTACAGCATGACGGCTAGCTTGCTCCGCCCGTACTCGCCATTGGGCCCCACGTCTCGGTTGATGTCGTCCAGGCTCGCAAACGTGGTGTCGCTGGGCGCCCCGTGGTGGAGGTTGCTGGCCTGGTTGCTGATGCGCACCGTGTTGCCCTGCGCTTCCGTCTTCTTCATCAGCGGCAGGAGGTAGCTGGTGAGGATGACGTGGCCAAAGTGGTTGACGGCCATGTGCCGGTCGACTCCATAGTCGGTCAGCTGATGCGTCATGATGCCGCGGCCGGCATTGTTGACGAGTATGTCGAGCCGGTCGCTGTCGCGCTTGACCGTCTCGGCCACCTCCTTGACGCGCGGCCAGTCGCTGAGGTCGGCCTGCATCCAGACGGTGCAATCCGCCTTGTCCTGGCCAAGCTCCTTCGCGATGGCGTCCTTGGCGCCCTCGACGACCTCCTGGGAGACAGAGAGGATGTACGCCTTGGCAATGTTGTGCTTCAGCAGCGTGTACACCACGCCGAAGCCGATGCCTTCGCTGCCTCCCGTCACGACGGCGACCTTGCCCGAGAGGTCCGGGGTGTCGTCCAGTCTGAACTGGACTGAGCCCAGTTTCGCGACTGCTTCGCCGCCAAAGTTTTCGGCGAGTGTGTTCTAAGAGGCCGTTGTTACCATTGCATGTCTCTGAGGTCAGTGGATTGACGTACTTTGATCGTTTGCATGTTTGGGACTTTGCTGCTGCGGCAGCTCGTTGCTGAGAAGTGTCTTGGTTGTCTTACGATGTTTGTCGATGGTCTGCCGCACGGCCGAGAATAGGGTTGAGTATAGAGACGAAAAACTGCCAAAAGACGACTCTGCCCGGCAATTGATCTGCTGGCCATTGATATTCCAAGACCGAACTGGAGTTTGACGGGAACATTGTGCTTCAGAGTTTATCTGATTTACTTGTCCCTGCGAGTTTCCCCTTCTCGATGGATGAGTCGATGACGTCTTCATTACAGGCACTCGCTCATCATCCGCGGACCGCATGTGCTGATTTCAACAAACGCTTGGCCAATGACAACTAATCGTTGGGGCTCCACGTCGCTTATATGAGGCAGAGTAGCATAGAAAATAATGCCGGTATTTCATTGTCGCATACCGACTTGACTATTTAGAAGAGTTTCCAGGCCATAACTGAAGTGTCTGCGTACGTCCCGCTGAATCCCGCTTACCCCCCCCGCGGGTGAAAGCGCTGGACAGTCGATGCGAACACGAAACCGTATGGAAATCAGCTGTTCCCCAGTGTCCCACCATCCCTTCTCGAAGTGGGATTATTCAGTTGTGGAGACCGGCTGAGAAACTTGTTCTGTCGTAGAACCAGAGGCAGAGGCTTTCAACACCAGTAGTACCAGACGGTTAGTAAATCCGTTGTTCATGAAGTGGCCTGACATCAAGTCACATAACAGGGGCTGATTAGACTGCAAAATCACGCAGTTTCTAAACAATGACAGAAATGAACTGGAAGGAAAAGAATGACGAACGAGAAGTGTAGGAACTTGAAAAGAAGGATGAGAAGAAAATAGTGGAGAAGAACATAACTAAGAACAAACTGATTGAAGATGACGATAGCGAAGAGATTACGAAGTGAAGGTAGGGACATCAAAGTTTGGATGTGAGGCTCCTCGGTCGCGAACAAACCACCTGCAAGGTTGGAATGTACGACTCTCCGGTCCCAACCGAGATGTCTTCACTGGGAAGTCGGCTTACATGCGACGGGTCAGAACTTGGTGCTCGGGCGCCTCTTCAACCTGCCCCGGGCCAGGGGGCATGGGGTGGGATGCGGTTGCGTGCGGGTCTGGCTGGCGTTCTTCAGTTCGGATTGTCTCGAGTCTCAGCGTACGTGCGTAGGTCGCGATAGAATCCTGGGATCCAAGTCAGGAATGGATCGGCAATGTATGAAGAAAGATAGACTTGGTCCGAGTCACTTTCGATCTATAGCCCAAAACTCCGCCCTCTTCGGTGTGCCCCATCGCCTCACAACAGTGACCGCCTCGCCGTTGCGCTTATGCATTTTTTCAACGTGCTTTACCAAGCTGGTCCGTTGCTCGTACACTCTCTATAGGATTGGTCAGAAGCAACATGAAACTAGGAATAACCCAACCTGTTCAGTTGCGCTCAAGAATCGGATCCTTACATTGTGACAACAGAGTTGACCAGGCTGGACCTCAAATCGGCAATAAATCTTGCCTGGATAGAGCCAGAGCCGTTTGTTCTGGATAGAGTTAGTGGACTGATTGTGGGCACATGGCTTCAGAGCAGTCGTCATGCCTGCTCGACACTGAATGGCGGAAGGTTGGCGCGGCGCCCGTTTCTGTTGTTCGCGTACCACAAGTAATCATCCTTGCGACCAACTTCAAGTTAGCAATTATGAACCTAGTTCAATGATAAAAGGAAATACAACTCACCGTTGTCTTTGTACCGCGGCTTGTTCTTGGTGTCCTGAACCGTATCCTCGTTGCTGGGCATGCCCTCCTTGCCGGGTATGTCCTCGTTGCTGGAAACGTCCTCGTGGTTGGATATGGCCTGGTTGCCGGGCATGGCCTCACTGTTGGACACGGTTCCGCTGTTGGACATGGTCTCGTCGGCGGACACGGTCTCGTTGTTGGACATAGCCTAATTGCCGGGTACGGCCTCGCTACTGGACATGACCTCACTGTTGGACACAGTCTCGCTGTCGGATATGGTCTCGTCGTCGGATATAGTCTCGTTGTCGGGCACGTCTTCGTTACTGGAAATGTCCTCGTTGTTGGACATAGCCTCGTTGCCGGGCATGTCCTCGCCGTTGGCCACGGTCTCGCTGTTGGACACGGTCTCGTTCTTAGACATTCCCTCATTGTCGAACATGATCGCAGCTTGGCAACTTAGGATTGCAAAAAAAAAACAAAGCCAGGTATGATTGATCAGAGTATCGAGGCAAGAAGAGCGATCCTGAAAGACTGAACGGAAGACAAAGGTTGTTGCGATACCACATGAGTCTGGGATGATTGTGCTGGGGAACAGTGGGATTTGGATTTACCAGACCGGATTGAGGACGCCTGGGTGCGACTCTCGATTCTCTTCGAAGTAAGGAGTGACGGGGGCTAAGGTGTATCTGACATGACTTGATTAGAGACACGTACCGGCTTGCGACGGTCTATGGAAGGTACATACAGCACTACAGCTCTTACCAGGTAAGAGCAATTTAGCCAGGCAGGCACTCAACGGAACAGCACCGTCCCAGCTGCTCCTCCACTTCCAATGCCATCTACTCAGGCTGACTCCCCATCACCTCCTCAATAATCCTCTCCACCGACCCCAACGAATCCAGGGCCTCGTTCTCCTCCTTCAACTCCAACGCCCTCGTCTTGAACTTCGGCTCCCCCAACACCTTCTCCACCGCCGCCCTGATGGTCTGCTCGCTCGGCTTCTGCGCCCTCAAGTTGACGGCCACGCCGGCATACTCCGCGCGAGCCGACACCTCGGCCTTGTCGGCGACGGTACCCGCCAGGACCATGGGCACGCCGTTCATGATGCCCTGCATGAACCCGCCGTAGCCGGCGTTGGAAACAAACACGTCGGCGTGGGCCAGAAGGGGATCGTAGGGGAAGTAGTCGACCACGATGGTGTTTGCGGGAACGGTGACGCTGCTGTCGAGCTTGGCGCCCTGCTGGCCGAGGGTGGCGACGACGATCAGGTCGGTCCGGTCGGCGAGGGCGTGGATGGTCGGGACGATGAGCTCGGTGTAGTCGCGGTGGATGGTGCCCTGGGTGACGAAGACGAGCTTCTTCTTGTCGGGCAAGTCGGCCGGGAGGGCCGCGTTGGAGGTGATGGTGGACCACCAGGCGGGGAAGACAAAGCTCAGGCTGAGGGGCTTCAGCGGCAGGCCACCGATGAAGCGCAGTTTGGGGTTGGGAACGGGGAGGGGGTACTCCAAGCTGGCGCTCGTGGCCATGAGTGCTACGTCGCCCGTGTTGAGGAACAGTTCGAACAGGGAGCCGGTTATGGCGCGGGTTGCGCCAACGGCCTTGAAGTGATTGTCGTAGTGCTCCATCACGTTTAAGAGGAGGGGCTTCATTTGGTCGTTGATGGATCCCCAGAGGGCGATGTTCTCGGGCGTGGGGTCGTAGGGCAGGCCTGGGCCAAAGGGAGGGACCTTCTCGTTCATTGTGGCATAGATGCTAGAGTGGAAGGTGATGACTTTGGGAAGGGATGTGTAGCCTTTGGGAAGAGGTGCCCCGTAGACGAAAGGTGCGAGACCGTTGGAGACGCTCTCGTGGAGGATGAGGACTTCGCGGTGAGGGTGCTCCCTCCGGACCCGTTCAAGCGTTTCCTTCAGGAGACGGTGCGCGACTGGAATCGAGTCGCCGAAGATATGCTTCATATCCCACATGGGATCCGCCTGTGTCGGAGCCTTCGCGAGGAGCTCCTTCCAAGGCCATGGGTTCTCGATGAACTCGGCCCCTAGCTTCTCGATCGGAGACTTGAAATCGGCACCGGTAATGAAATAGATTGTGTTGAAACCCCTCTTAACTAAATGCTCGCATATCTGGAGAAGGGGGGCGGTGTGGCCGGGGACGGGAAAGGCAGTGGCGACGATGACGGGTTTGTTGTCGACAACCATGGCGCAAATGGATATGGATATGTAGGTGTTTGAGTAAGATGCGGTTGAACATGCAATGTCAAAAAGAACCAAGAGGTAGCAGAGCGCTGTACATGCAAGTTTGCGTTTGGACAACAGGAGTGGGAGCAACGGGAGGACCTGAGTATATGACCTTTATAAGATTAAACTGGCTACCACTGGGCAATGAAGGCTTGTCGCCATGTTTGACGAACAAGGAGTGCCTCACGGACAGCAGGATGAGACAAAGTCAGTTTGTCGAGGGTCCTGGACCTGGCATTGGAGTTGCGTTCGGACAGGCCATCGTTCCGACCTCCGAAGTTCCAACCCTACGACAAAGCCGAGTTTCTCCGGTGCCAGAGGCGTGGCAGGGCTGAGAAATGCTGCGCTCTTCGAGCCACCGCCCACAGTCCTGCCCGACGCTCAGGTCAGAGGTCGGATCGCACTGGATGCCCGGGATGGTGAGGGATTAGCGAGATCGAGGTGTTTGGAAGCACACCGCCATGCCAAATCTGGGCGTACACACAACAACACACGGCGGCTAGTTTTGTGGCTTGCAGGTGACGACAAATACGGATTAATGTCGTCGTGGTATCCGAATCAAGTAAAGAATGATAAAGCCACTGTGGCTGACGAAGCTCAGCTCAGGGCTGTGTGAGAGTTAGGTAGGTATGGATTGTGAAATTGTAATCCACTGTGCCAATGTGATTGGAGGGTAATACACCTGCGGACAGAAAACCCTGGTCTAAGAGTAAAGAACGTCAAATACCAATCTTATAGTCGGAGGTACAGAAATTACCTACAGCAGATGTAGAGGATGATGTGCTCCGGATTGATTGGAAGGATTCAAAGGCGGCTGTCACTTCTTGCGAAGCGCAGAAGCGATGCCGTTCATTGTGGGCTGAGTTAATGGCCAAAATGGGCCGTTTCTGGGAGAAGGTTCAACAAGATGGCAACATGTAGGGAATCTTCTTGCTCAGGGTCCCGACGGAAGGAGAATCATGTGCGGTGGACTCGGAGAACCGATGAAGAGAGAGAGCCCCACCTTGTGTGGCCGTGCTCCTGTGGCGTCAGTTTTAATTGACCCAGCCACAGACGCGTCGAGCGCGTTCCTCGACACAGTAATTCGTGCATCGGCGCAAAAAACCACCATCGAATTGACGGCTGAGGCGACGCTAAGACCGAGAGCGGACTCACAACACGACTCGACATTTCGGAACCAAAATTGAGCGGCCAACATGTCCGACTTTGAAGATGAAATGGACGTTGATGTCCAACCCTCTAAGGACATCACCTTCTCCTCGGATGCCACGGCCAAGGGCAAGCGCAGCGCCGCAAATCTGCCCGTCGAGGCCGAGGACAGTTTGCCATGGTGCGGAATTTCATTCTGAAGCTTTGGCGATCTGCTTACCCCATTAACCTGCGATCAGGGTCGAGAAATATCGCCCAGTATCCCTCGCCGACGTGTCGGGCCACCAAGACATCCTCGCCACCATCAACAAGTTCGTCGACTCGAACCGGTTACCCCACCTCTTGCTCTATGGCCCGCCCGGCACGGGCAAGACGTCCACCATCCTCGCCCTCGCCCGCCGCATTTACGGCTCCGAGAACATGCGCCAAATGGTGCTCGAGCTTAACGCCTCCGACGACCGCGGCATCGACGTTGTGCGCGAGCAGATCAAGACCTTCGCCTCCACAAGGCAGATCTTCACCATGGGCTCGTCGGCATCGCGGTCGGGCATCGCCGGCTTCAAGCTCATCATTCTCGACGAGGCCGACGCCATGACCAACACCGCGCAGATGGCCCTCCGCCGCATCATGGAGAAGTACACGGCCAACACGCGCTTCTGCATCATCGCGAATTACTCCCACAAGCTCAGCCCGGCCCTTCTGTCGCGGTGCACGAGGTTCCGCTTCAGCCCGCTGAGGGAGCAGGACATCCGCGTCCTGGTGGACAAGGTAATCGAGGAGGAGCATGTCAAGATCACGCCCGACGCGACCGACTCGTTGGTGCGGCTAAGCAAGGGTGACATGCGTCGGGCGCTCAACGTGCTGCAGGCGTGCCATGCGTCAAGTATGCCTCCATGGGGTTTTTTCTTTTTCCTGTGGAGTGTGCGTGTATTGCGGCGTATACGCTGACCCAAGAACTAGGTACACCGCTCCAACCGCGCGACGCGCCAAAAATCCCGGACAAGGACATCGTCCGTGAGACCATCACCACGCAAACCATCTACAACTGCGTCGCCGCCCCGCCACCGGACGCCATTAAGAAGATACTCAACACGCTACTCAGCACCAGCGACGTCACGTCCTGCCTGTCGACCATTAACACACTCAAAGTGGCCCAGGGGCTGGCCCTCGCCGACATCATCACGGCGCTATCAGAAGAGCTGGTCAAACTGGAGGTCAAGCCCCAGGTCATGATTACCTGGCTGGACGCCCTGGCTGAGGTTGAGCACAGGGTATCAAGTGGTGCCCACGAGGCGATACAGACGTCGGCGGTCGTGGGAGCGATACGGAACGGCGTCGAGTTGATGGGCTGAGGTTGCTTCAGGATTCGGAAGAAATTGCGGTTGGCAGGGCCGGTAGAGTTCCGGAAAGATGAGGAGTTGGGAGGGCGACATGGCCGACATGGCCGACATGGGCTGGCTAGATATCTCGGGGCTATACCGAGAGCTATGAGCTGAAGATACCCTTGGCGACCCGAGGACAGCTTTGCTGCTCGGTTTATGGCCCATTGATGCCACTCATGATGAGAATTGGGTTGGTATTACCCACACACTTCATTTGCTGTTGCCCTCCCGTGTCCCGCTGTCAGTGGCAAGAATACACACGGTTTCGGGCAATGAGTTGGCGCCCCAGCCGGGAGGGTGATATCACTCTTAAGTCTTTCGCGTCGTTCGTTCATGCTCGCCGCACCTCCATCCACGCCTCTCCCACATTGAAACCGACGCTCTGTTTCTTAGTATTCTCATCGCTGGTCTTATCTGCGAAGCATCTACCTCCTAGTCTTTTGATATCGTCATCGCCGCTCATCTCCAGCGCGAAGCAGTCATCTGCAGCATCCCTGGACATGAGCGCATGCGCTTCACCTTCCACCGCCTTGGAGCTCCCCTGTTCCTCCTGGTCCCCCCCATGAGCTCTTCAGAAGACCCTTTTCTTCAACCCAATGCTTTGATCACGACTAACCCTTGTATCAGCGCATTCTTCCTACGTCGCCCAGCCAGCAAGGAGCCTGGCATTCTCGATAATACATTTCACCCACCCATCAGCAACAGTCATCGCTACCAGCCGAATATGCCCATATGGATTCAACTGCTCCTCGACGCCGCTTGCATACCAGATGATGCGCAAACCCCAGCACAACCTGGCCTTTCAAAATGAAACACAATCGCCGCCCTAAACCGCTGATGCCCCATCACCCTAAGAAGCCACTGGGACGGAAGGAGCTTCGATGCTCTTCCTCGCTATCCTCGATGTTAATGTCACTCTAACTACCGTATATGGACCCTACCTTACAAACTGCCATTGAATAAACTGTGTACAGAGAGGGTTTATAATCATGAGGCTGTAGGAAGTTACAGCAATGTCGGTCACCTTTCTGAGGGTATCTCAAATGGCATCGTGATTCTCATGAGTCCATGGGTCCATGCCTGGTTCCAGTCAGTAACTTGAGTCGTACACTAGCAGCAGGCTACAGGATTGGAGTTTAGGAAAATCCTTGCTAAACTCACTGGCATATGTCCAACAGTCTACCGGAGCTGACTTGAAATTTCTAACGAAACTCGCCCCCGTGCTCCTTTTCACCACCGACCACATCGCAATGAGTTTGTGGTTCGTCACCGCAGCCCTCCATCCCGCCAGCGGCTCGACCTCCGCCCGCCGCCCCGGCATAGACGAATGAACAGGGCACCCTTGGGTAACACCGTCTTCTGCCTATCTCTTCCTTCTCAATAATTATGCTGGAATCTTTCCCAAAAGACTTTTATAACAACCTCATCGATAATGAGCCGCAGCGAATGCTGTGCGAACCTGAAGCCCGGACCCTAGCTTAATTCCCCACGTTTAGTCGGGGGACTTCAAGCAAGCAGATGATCGGCTTCCTGCAGCCTTCCTTGCCCACGTCAGACACGAGAAGCCGCATGTTTCCGGGCTCCCTTATCCAAGTCCAACGGAAGCCTGAAGTCGTAATGATCGACTTGCTAAGATACTGGTCGTTTATTGACGTTGGTATGTGTGTTGTTGTGAATCAGTCGTGGCGAGGCAATCAAGGTAACTAAGTGGTGATTTACGGTACTGTCCACCCCTGGAATGATTGTTAACTATGCTTGACTTAGACGACAGTGGTGCTTTTAAAACTCCAAACTCAACGCAACAAGGACCCGATTTTTGTGCAACAAAAAGTATTCTGAGTGAAAAACTCTTCAAGAACCTTGCCCTATACTCCGATTTTCTAGATTTAAGGTGAGTAGGTGGTTGTTGAAAGGGCAGATTTTCAAAATATGTAGGGACTCCTGTCTGTTGAACCGCACCACAATCATTTAGAGGAGGAACTGTATGTGAATGAACACTAATCATTGTTTCCAAAAGCCAGGTAGATACGGTATGACGGGGCAAAAGTGAACATGATGTTAGTGGGATTACGGATCCGTAAAACTGGAATAACTGATAAAATGAGGCGGCCATTTAGGACTATCTGTGTACGGATCTGTATATGGCCGAGATGGCCTGTGACGCGGGATTATGTGGGGCCATCCACCACCACCACAGCGCATCGCAGCACACAATCGAACTGCATTGAGCTCAAATCCATCAATTGAATTGCTCTTGATGGCTCAATTGAGCCTCGTTCCATCGTACCCAAATGCGTCGAGTGGCATAACTGACACAGTCAGTGATGCAGAGAGATAATATGACTATATGAACCCTAACCCTTCTACGTGGACCTCGCGCCGTGTCATGATGCTGTTACAGTTCACCTCCCTGTCGATCTGCTGGCAGTGGGCTTGACTGATATAATGCGATACGTTTAATTGAGCATAGTTCAATTGAGCGATACATTCAGTTTTGTGATACGACACATTGCAGTTCAATTGAGCGTTGCAATGCAATACGTCGCGATGTGGTGGTGGATGACCCAACATCGTCCCGCGTCACAGCAACATACCGTACTCCTCACCTGGTTCAAATATTCCCACAACTTTCCCTTTTCCGGCTCCGAGGCAGCTAACCAGGCTTTCTTCCACATCATGCCGCACCGTTCAAATCATGTGAGCGCAATAAAATCTGTGCGGCACTCCCAAGAGCAGTTGGATCAATTATACGAGTTGATGATTGAAACGTCAACGAATTGGATGTAGTTAGCGTGCCAAGGCCTTTTAGGCTTCGTGCCTCCGGGCGAAATATAATTCCATCCATCCATCCATGCAGTTAAATCAACCACTCTCGAGTGGCTGAGTCTGTGCGAAGATGGGGAGGATGTGGGTCGGGATCTGGCTGAGCCTGAGTGGAGGTATATGAATCGCGTGAGCATCCGTACAAGTAGTCCCAAATGGCTGGCCTCTATAAAATACCCTGACTGCGGGTTAATCCAGTAACTGAGAAGCGAAGCTTTTGAACACTGTGTCTGTTGCCAATCCAGTGTGGAGTTGCTGTGGCGACCAATCGCTCCCCGAGAAAGTCTGGAGGTTTGAGCCAGTACTGTGTAAATGAAGCTCTCGCTCCTTCCTCACTCCTCCATGTGTAAACACGATGTCAGAGCTCGTCATTGAAGTTGCTAAATTGATTGACCAGACGCGGGTATCAGATGCACACGAAGATCAACAATCACAAAGAACTTCAGTATTAGCCTCAGCTAGCCACCTGATCAAAATGCCTCTGCCTTGCCGCCCACTCCTCATTAACAGTCCGATAGTCCTCCGGTCCATACGGACTCAACACCTGCGCGAGCACACCCCGCTTCCGCCGATGATCGATCCCCAAATCGCGCTGCAGCAAGTCTAGATACGGCACCGCATCAAAGATAAAGCTCGGCACCTTGGAATTGCCCCAATCGACAGGATACCGCCAGCGCCCAAACCGATTATGCAGCACGGTCTCGCGGCGCAACTCGTCTAACCTTCCCGGACTCGGTGCCGGAGCCACGGTGTCTGACACCAACAGCCCTTTAAAGTAGGCCCCGATCCACAGCCCCTGGAGGTGGGCCGTGATGATGTTGCTGAAGTTGGATACGAACCCGGCGAAGGCGACGTCGCGCGTGCGCAGGAAGCGCGCCGACGGCGGAACCATGAAGCGGTGCAGCATGAAGGGCGTCAGCGGGGTGCAGGGGGTGACGGCGTCGGTGCTGTGTACGCCCTTTTGTTGTGTGAGGGGTATGTAGGCCTTGTTCCAGACGGGTTCGTGCTTGAGGCGGGGGAAGCGGGTCAGGATCTGTGCGTCGGCTTCGGCGAGCAGGTCTTGCTGCGAGGCGAGGTCTTCGGGGGTGGGTTTCGTTTCGGGGTCAGGGAAGTGGGGGAGGCCGAGCTCCTTTTCAATACCCTCGGGCAAGAACTTGAGGGGCGGGACTTGCTTCCAGCCCGTGACGGCAAGCAGCACATCGGCCGTGAGCTGGGTGCCGTCCGAGAGGTGGACCTTGCCTGGGCTGAGGCCAGTGATGTCGCTGATGTGGACGCGGATCTTGCCGTCCTTGACGAGCTGGAAGAAGTCGGTCTCGTAGTTGAGCAGGCTGAAGCTCGTGGCAACGAACATGGCGTCGAGCCACGGCTTGAGCTTGGCCGTCTCCGGGTGCGAATCAAACTTGTTGAGGGTTAGGACATCATTGCCGAGGATGCCCCAGAAGATGTCGACGATCTTGCGCCCCAGGGCGGTGCCGTGGAGGAAGTTGCGGATGCCTGGGTAGCCGTCGGCCTCGCCCCAGATGCAGGGGCTGAACCAGGTGAGGAGGCGGGTATCTGAGAGCCACGGTGAGTGTCAGAAGAGCCATGCGTTGGGAATAGGGGACATGGACGCGGGAGGGACCGTACTGGCGAGTTTCTCGATCCACTTCTTCAGCGGCGTGACGTGCGTGGGCGCCATCCACACGGGACCGTGGCCGGACGCTGAGTTCTACTGTCAACGATGGAGATCAAACGACTAACTTCTTGATCACAACAAGACTTGGTGCAGGTTCGAACTTACACCGGATGACCATGTGCGTCTCGACGCCTGCGGTGGCGTAGGCATACGCTGCGTCCCAGGCAAACTTGGTGCCCCCCAACACCACAGCCGACTTGGCCGTCCCCAGCGTGTCGCGGTTCTGCGGGAAGTGCTTGCCGTGGAAGATGCGGCCACCAAAGGTTTCCTCGCCGTCGAAATGCGGAAGAAAGGCGTCCGACGTCTGGCCGGTGGCCACAATCAGCCGGCGTGCGAAGACGCGCTGCTCCCCCAAGGACTCGGAGGAGATGGTCAAGACCCAGCCGCCTTCGGGGCCGTCCTGGTGTTCGGCTGACAGGACCTTGGTGCGCAGCCGAATGCGCTCGGCGATGCCAAATTCGGCGGCGTAGGCCTTGAGATAGTCATGGACGACGGTGCCGGGCACGTGGCTGCCTTCCTCGACGCCGAACCTGGCCGTGGTCATGGGGAAGTCGGGATACTCGTAGGTCCCCCACAGGTTGTTGCTCTTCAGGCCCGGATACAGGCGCTCGGCTGCCCAGGTGCCGCCCAAAGTTTCCTGGCCATCGAACACGACGAGGGAGTCGGACGGGTGGGTGAAGTGGTACTGCTTGGCCGCCCCGAGGCCATACCATCCTGCAGCAGCAATGGTTGGTCAGTACGCATCGTTCTTGTTGTTTCTTTTGTTCCAGAGGCATAGAGGGTGGCTGGCGGAGGCTCACCGGCGCCAACCACAACACAATCGAACGTCTCACGCTCCATCCTGATGTCCTGCTGCCCTTGGGCCTCACGAAGTCGACGACAGTAGAAGAGAAGCAAATCGGCGAGCGCGAACAACCCCGACCGTGGGCCGCCTCAGGCGCCAACGTTACCCCACCACTCGCCATTGTCTTGCAGAACAATGTCGCATCGGCAGACTCGTTGCTGGATCCGGTATCTTGTCCGACCGCACGGGAGGATTCCGAGTTCTCGTCTCCGAGGGTCTTTAGCCCTTTTGGGTAAATCCAGCTGCATATCGCCCCCTGAGGCGGCCAGGGTACCAGCCGAGCCCATTGGACGCCATCATTGGTTCGGCGCTACGCGCATGCCGCTAGCCTGTTACCGAGCTCCCGGGCCCTGTCCGAGCCCGACCACGGCCCCAGAAGCCCTGCCGTTCGAAATTGCGCGAGCGTGGGTCCAGAAACGTGGTGGCGATGAGGAGAATGGCTCTGCCGTTGGATCGACAGGAGCAATAAGCAATACCCAGCGGAGTGAGCGTTGCAACGGGCTCTCTCGGAGACCCGGACTGTGGATGCCAATGCCACACACTTGGCCCTTATTGTGGGAACCCCCGATTGCTTCTGGGATGGCAAAATGCAATGGCCTTTTTCTTGCTGGAGACGAAACGGGCAAAGCAACTTTGTTTGAACCAGAGCAACCGGCGGGGATTTCTCATCCCGCTCAGGATGTGATCAACGGTCTGCGGCGGCCGAGAAACCCACGAAGAGTTGGGATGTTCATAACATCCATTGGATGAAACTTAAGGGCTCATCAGTTGCCCTCACGCTCGTTTTTTATATTTCTTTCCCGTCCTCCCTTTTTGCCGAGTCCTCGGCTCCTCGCCGCCCAGCCAGCTACGGATAACAGTACGTGGCCTGGCTCTAGTCCCGCCAAGGCAAAATGTCGTCAACAGACCCAAACACAGCCGAGGCAGCGCAGGCAGCTGCAGCAAAGGCCTTCCAGGAGTTCACCGTTGAGGCCTTTACGCTCCTTGCGATAGGTCTGTGCTTCACAGTCCTCCGAACGGCTGCCCGCATCAAGATTGTCGGCGTCAAGGGGCTACGATGGGACGATATACTGGTCTGGGTTGGCACGGTTCGTATTCATTCAATTCTGGATTCCCTAGCCCTGATTATCCCTCCGGTTGTTGAACACTATCTCATCGCCACCCTCTCAGATATGCCATGCCGCTGAGACGGGCCTGGCCTACTCGGTCGGCCATGCCGCACATGGGCTTGCCAACAACGGCATGACAGATGCTCAACGGGCAGCTCTCCGCCCGGACAGTCCGGAATACCAGACAAGGTAGGTGTTTTATGCCCTTCCCTCCTCCAAACACCTTCCAAACGGGATGGGGCACAGGTCAACCTCTGACTTTACTCTCTATAGGGTTCTTGGGTCAAAGATCCAAATCGCCGGCTGGTCGACGTATTCGGTCCTGCTCTGGTCCCTGAAGCTGTCGTTGCTTATCTTTTACCGGCGCTTGACCACCGGCGTGGGCACGCAGTACCGGATCCGAGTTAACATTGGCTTCGGCTTCCTCGCCGCCAGCTTTGTTGCCATCACCACCAACCTCTACCTGGCCTGCCGCCCGTTCCACAAGTATTGGCAGATCAACCCGGATCCAGGAAGTGCGTCCTTGCTAAACACTGATAACCCCTTTTATGTGACTCGTACGGTGTCCAGTTGTCACTGACATGCTTGGTGTTTTTTCTCAGATGTCTGTCAGCCTGCCATATCGAACCAGGTCGTCTGGATGTATCTCGCCTTCAATGTGTCGACAGACCTGTACTTGCTCTCGATCCCGCTGCCCATGCTGTGGGCGTCGGCTCTCAAGCCTGTGAAGAAGGCCGGCTTGATGGTGGTCTTTGGCGGCGGACTGCTGGTCGTTGCATTTGCCATCTTGCGCTGCGCCATGATTTTCTTGGTACGCCCCATTTTCACTCTGTGCCTCCCAACTTACCTTACCTTACCCTACTTCTTCCCCACCAACTTTGTGTGACTAACCTCCTACCTTCAATAGGACCCCGTCAACGGCGCGCAACTCGCCGGCTCCTGGGCCGTCCGCGAGACCTTCGTCGCCGTCGTGACGACCAACCTGCCCATGATTTTCCCGGCCTTCAAGATCTGGCTGGCGCCGCTCATCACATCGCTCCGCAGCACGATGTCATCACAGAAACTGACGGCCAACAACAACAAGACCCCCAACGGCGGCCTCGGCGGCAGCCGCGAGCTGCGCACCTTTGGGGCGGGTCGGAGCTCCCTCAGGGCTGCTGGCAACCGCCGCCGCGGAGAACCGCCCACGCTGTACAACGTCACGGCCGTCACGGCCACGCTGAACGAGAGCGAAGAGCGCATCATGGTCCAGATGCAAGATGGCAAGGCGGGGAGCGATTCGGACGGGGATACCCAGCCGGGAAGGAATCGCAGTATTCGCCAGCATATGGAGGTTTCGGTTGTGAGCGAGGAGGTGGATGCTAATAATCTGCCGAAGGCTCCGAGGCTTTGGTGAACAACATAGGTACTGGAAGGTGGGGAATGGGGGAGGAATACTGCGAGAAACTTAGAGCTTTCGAAGCTACCAGGTAGACTGAGGCTCAAGCTGCTTGATATATATATACTTTATACATAATTCGGATCTAGACTTGACGGCACCTCTCGCGCTGATATGCTGGTTTCAGGAGACCTCGAGTTCGAAGCAGGAAAGGCATCACTCATTGAATGCTAGCATTCACTCATCGGTCGAAGTAAGGTAAGGTAGGCAGCCAGTTGTGTTGTTCCGCTACTCGGATCATGAAAATCTTGAGAGCGCTCAGCGCTCTTCGTGTATCAGAACCCCTCTCTCCAATGAACCGCAGCTCGAGTCCAGGCCAGCGAGACTCTCTCCAATCCTACCACTTTTAGTTAATGTTGGATTCGTGCACCACGCAATAATCATCGGCCTCTGGCTCCTTCTCGCTATTGTTATCCGCCTCTAAGGAGTCGCTCATGATTGCCTCGCATCAGCCAGCCTTCTTCTTCGATTAGGGGTCTAGTTCGGGGTCTTGGCTGGCGATTTTCGTCGCAGGGTTCTAGGCGGGCGTGGTCGGAGCGTTGAGCCTTGCGCGTGCAGGACTCCTCAGCGCATTTGCGCCATGCGTTCTTGCACTTTTTTTGGCGATATCGAGCCTGCTGAAGTGTCGGTAGCTTGGTTTCTATCATGTGGAAAACATATGCTTATGGCGAGACTCACGTTTCCCGTGCAGGCAGAGGCGGCTGGTGGTTGACCGGATGGGCTTGACTCCTGGTGTTGCTGTGATGCTTGAACGGCAAGAGTACGGTAGCTGGGGATTTGTACGAACTTCGCAAAGCGACTGTGGTTCTTGGTCTTGGAAGATGTAAGTTGAAGCTGTGGTTCCAAACTGCTGGTAGATGCCCGGATGTCGCTCACCATTTTATATTTCGAGTCTCGGCGGCCTGAACTACTCTCCAACCTCACCCTCGGTCGCCTTAAGCAAAGCAAACCTCAGGCGCTCTTGTCATATTCCGCACTGCTTGGCCACCGGAGCGTATTAACGTCATTATCCCTAAGGTAGAGAAAGGGAGCGACTGAAGGGCTGAAGGCGAACATCATGGCGGATGACTTGATCGCACTTGCAGGCACCCGGACTGGAAAGCAGACTGAACATAACAAAGACAAAGGCTGCCTTTTTTGTTTTTCCAGTTTGGGTGCCACAGGTCAGCTCGACTTCGTCTCATTCTTGCCAGAGGGCGATGACATGATGGAGTTTTGAAAGGCCAGGGTCCAGTCTTTGAAGGAGGTACTAGCAGGCATAACTGGCCTGATCACGAACCCTGTTCAATGCACGTTGAGCTGCTAACCTGAACTACATGGTGAACTTCTCGTCATGCCGCACAGCTGTTGCTGAATGTGTCCAAGTCCATCATATGCATGACAGAGGCGCTCAAGATTGAGAGTCATAATGCAACAACTGCCATGCTGTGTTAGGTGGGGTGCATATAAACCCGGGACGCGACAGTCACCGTCAGGGCCCAAGCTGTTGCTACAGTATGTACCAGGGCAGTAAAGGGTCTTGTGGTGGTGTGATTAATGCTAGTTCTCTTGGGGGTGACGTGGCTAAGATAGGGTGGTTTCTAAGACCCTCCCCTGCAAACATCAAACTACAGTACCTCAAGGTGGGGCGCACAGCGTCCTAAAAAAAAAAGTCATGCTAAGTTCAGTCAAACGGAATGAGTAGTTTCTGAACTCGGGCCGGCAGCCAGGGAGAAACACATTGTTCTCGTCTCTCAGTACTGCTTTATTGAATGACATGGTGGTCTGGCTGTCGCAAGTCTTCGACCTAGCTAGCGCCTTTGTTTCCACCCACAGGGTGCAGTTGGATCAATGCATGTCCGCCCAAGCAACTTCTTTGTCTTGCCTGAACTCAGCGGGTAATAGAGCTCGACAGCTTCCAAACATTCAATCAACTAAGTAATTCAAGCAACGCTGGACGGAGAAGCCGCCCGGACCTCCCGTCCCCCTACCAGACGCTTTTCTCACCAACCAGACAACTTCGGTCAATTGGCTCATTGAATACCTTCTTCATGTAAGGTACCTTACCTTGCCATTCTCCTTGTCCATCTCTCGCCGCATTCCAGTTTGACCTCTCTATTCCTCAGCGTGCGCTCAACACAGAAAACGAATGGTACTATACCTTAGGATGTCATCCGACCCAGTTCAACAACAGACTCGTCCAGCATCTCATGCACCCACTCGGTCCAGTCGACCTGTACGACAGCATGGTGCTGCATAGTCCCAAGTGCTCAAGCACCATCCGGCATCCTTCCAGTCAATCATGTAATACGCTCGCGACTTGTTCGCGGAGCATAACATTTCGCCCCAGGATATTGGCATGCGCAAACGGTAATATGGCAAACACAATCGTCGTCGGAAAGGCATCCTTGATCTCAGTCACCCTGCATACCCGGCATCCGGCAACTCTTTTCTGAACATGTTTGATAACGTCCCGCAAGGTGATGGAAAGTAAAGTCTTCCAGGATGTCTGCATAGGTATGGAGACGGCCCAGAGCTGTTGGACCTGAAGAAAGACAGGCTTCATAGCAACTCTGCGCGTCCTTCTGTCGAAGTTGAGTGTAGTCAGTCGGTGGCTAGGTCTTGAGTGAGACTACCTATACGTTCTGCGCTCGTCGCAGTGCAGCGAACTTCAATGCGTTGTCATGGAGCACAAGACCGACAAGTACGCTGACGGGACTGAATTAAGACTTGGATCAACACGTCCCCACACTTGTGGTAACTGGACCAGTCTTGCAACCAATACGTGGAGGTCCTTGCCAGTTCCGGGGGCATAGACGACGGTCGGGGGATGGACGTCTTTTGTAGGCAAGCCCTTTGGGACATCGGCGTTAGCCCTCGCTTTCTCAACTCACATTTCACCCAACCAGGGGCGGATACGTCACCAGGTCGACCACTTTGGCCAACATGGCGTGACTCGCTCCTGTCTTGGGAAAGCGGTTGATCTGGGCCCGAGTTACGGCGGCTGAAGAAGTCGATCGTTGGCAACTTAATGAGCGGTGGCGGCCGCGAATCCCAGATCTGCTGGTGGGATCGGGGTGACTTACACGTGGATTGTGTAGCATGTTAATCTGATGGCAACGATCCTCGGAGGTCATTCACAAGTGACAGCTCCCTGCATCTCGAACCCCTTCTATTCCCTGAATTTTTGGCGTGGTGATCGGCGGTCTTGCGCGGGAAAACGAAGAGCTACCTAACCTAGGCACAGGAGACAGCTGGAAGTGACAGGGTGGTAGGGCGATGGGTGGTGGTCCAGGCCGTTAGCGTGGGAGATCATTGAACCCCCGGTGTCGATCTTGGCTGCAAGCAGGGCTTGGCACGAATGAAGAAGAGCTGAAAGACGTGTTTTTGAGCCTAGCCTAGGGCGGACCTCCGTAGACATGGCCCTCAGTACGGGTTATGGCGGTGAGGGATTTCAAAGGGATACTTGCAACTTGAAGCTTTTTCTCCGCCTAAGCCTCAAGGTGCTGATGGGGCCGGTGATGGGGCACTGCAAGTGTCGTCGGGTGACTCGGGTCTCGTTGAAGGCACCTCTACTGATTCGATATTAGCGAAAACAGCCCTATCCAGTCTACTTGGTGTTGAGACACTGCTGGACGAAGTTTGACGGCACAGATGGATGGCACTGTTCCATGTCTCAAGAAGAAAGCACTTGTGGGCGATTGCGGCTGGGATCCCTCGGGCTTACCATTTTAAGGAGGGATTTACAAACCCAATCCAGGTCATCATCGAAAGCTCACGACCTATTGATGGCATCTACGTGGTCCTGCTCCTATTCGGACCGTTAGTACCCTTGACGAGGTCGGCATAACATGCCAGAGCATCGTAGTAATGTAGGGACCTTGAAGATCGGTCCAACTTCTTCATCGCTTGGGTATTCGTACAGACATGGTGGATGATTAGGATAGAGAAAGCTGGATCAGCTTCAGCGTTCGTCTATATAAGGCAGCCCGATCTTCCACCAAGCTCGACTATCTTGTCCATCGCCCTCGCAGTCCACTTCACCCTCCACTCAGCAGCTCAAAACATACCTTACCTACTCGCCCATACCCATCCCCTCAACCTCTCTTCAAATTCTGCAAAAATGGTTTCCCTCCGCTCCCTCGTCACGGTAGCTGCGTTTATCGCCGCGCCCGTCATGGCGGCTCTGACACCGCAGCAGATCGCGGACGGCATCAGAAAGCTGACAGGGGAATCCCAGGCGCTTCAGGCCACGGCTCAGAGCATTACCATCGTCAATGCCCCCTTGATTGTCATCGGACAAGGCCCTTTCCCGGTATGTTAACCCACCTGGGCATGTTTTTGTGTTAGCTCATGCCCGTTCATGACCACGCCCCCAAGCCCGGTACTCTGATTGACATGCCACAGACACTCATCGCTGGCTTCAACGACCTTGTCTCGACCGCCACGGTCGTACTTGAGCAGTTTCCGGGAACAAAGCAGATCACCGGCGAGGCTGAGGCTACGCTCGTTTTCGACGCTTTCCGCGGTGTAATAACCTCCCTTCTTGGCACTGCTTCCGTTGTGAATACTAATAGCCGCCCAATTCAGTTTGTTCGCGTTACACAGGAACTGGGCAACATCTTGATCGGAAAGGCCGGCATCCTCGAAAAGGTCCCCTTTGTTGGCCAACCGGTTGCCGCCTCACTTCGCGCAGTTGAGAGTACTACCGACGTGAGTACCTCTAAATCTACCTTTCCCTTTCTCCTGCCAGTTGCGCTGGATTCATTATCAGCCCTCTCCACCCCCTTCCCCCGTTATTGACAATTGACAATGACCCTGACCATCATTCAGACGCTTGCCATTTCTCTGATCAACACGGTCGAGCCTAGGGTTCGCGACCTCGAGAGCGAGGCTAATGCCCTGGGCGACACCCTCGAGCTCTGCATCCAAAAGTACGAGGGCATCGCTGTCTGAGGAACCGACGCGGCGGACGCCACGTTTACCGCAGCTAAGCGCAATGCCCGCATATTTTATTCCATGGGCGCTTTGAGGATTATGAAGCCCCCCGCCGAACGGGTATTTATGGAAGTTATAGATGGTGGACGGGCAGTGGGGGAGACAGGTGTGGGCGGTTCTTGAAAAAGGGATGGGAGGGAGGATAGACGTAGTGAGGCGGTAGTAATGTGAACCATGGCTCAACGGCGATACAATCGTGCATCGCTGCGTGCATGCGCCCATCTCAGGCTAGCTCTTCCTCCTTGTCTCTCCGTTTTCCAGCCATCTTGCTTGAACCAGTTCATATTCTCTGTCCCCCAAATTTCACCTTCCCTGTGATGGAAGACTTTCCGAAGCTTTGACAAGTATTGGGGTAAGATTCCACCTCACCTTAATCACGAGTTGCGTCAACCATCGCTGAGGAGCACGAGCACGCGTGACTCTGGCCGCGGAGTCCGAGGGTAATTCAGGGATCTGACTACACGGAGTCTCAAGTTGACCTCCAACACCCAGCAACAGCCCGAAACTCTCTGGTTTAGAGTGACAGTCGGGCAAAAAGACCGGTTTACAGGCTCCTGATTCTTTGTGAACCAAATACCCAATGAATAAGGTGGTTAAGGAAGACATGTTTGGAGACTGGAACTAGTTGCCCAGGCCTCAAACTTACCAGGTGTAATCCCTGCCTCATTTGATTTGAGTGTGAATTGGACTACACGGTTGACTCCTCGCTCCGATCCTGTCAGCCACGTTTTGATTGTAGAGCCGGATAATGTGTGGCACCGTGGCAGCCTCGTCTGCCAATAAGCGGTGCAACTCCCAAGGACAAGCCCCGTCACGGCAGCCACTACAGTCAGGCAACGTTGGGAAGAAGAAAAATGATAGTTGAAGATCTCCCTGCCAATTCGCTAGGCCCAACCTATCCCCGGAAGCAACGTAAAACCCCAGCTCATGTAGGTCAGGTAGCCAACCCATCCCAACACATGCAACAACCCTGCCCCGTAAATCCCCAGAAACGTGACCTCCCAAGACCCATCTTTCTCACAGCGGATATGAACGAGACTGGCTCAAGTCCAGTAGCGATACGACGGATGCCTATTCCCCAGCTGCTCCTGCTCCTGCTCGGTCAGGCCCTCGAGGCGGTGGTCCCGCTTGCCGGCGGCGCGGACCCTGTTCTCGCGGGCGCAGTAGAGGATGCCAAAAAGCGACAGGCAGACGACGGCGATCTGGCCGCCCAGGTTGATGCTGTGGCCCGTGTAGTACCGGGGCGAGTCGGCTTGTACGTAGGTCCATCTGCGGGGAAGGGAGGGGAATCTCCCGTCAGTTCCATGTATCCTGGGAGGTATGCTGATGGTGGGAAAGGTTACGGGAGGGAGACTGGAAGATGGAAGGGCATGGAGCTTACGTGGCTACGATTCCGCCGATGGTGCCGAGGGTTACGACGTAGCCCGAGGTTACGGCGCGGACTGCGGGCCCGGCGGAGTCTGGACGTGCTCGTCAGCTTCACGCCCGGTCTGAGAAGTAAGGCATCAAGATGAGCCGAAGGAAAGTGGACTTACTGTTCATGGCCCAGCTGAGGAACCCCGGCCCTCCCGGGAAGGCACCCACCGTCACAAAGTACAGCGCCATGTAACGAATGTTTGGCGTCTCCACCCACCGTAGGATTGCAAAACCAACAACGGCCAGACACGAGAAGGCGGCCAGCCAAATACCGCGCTGCTGCGTCTTGTCACTGCCGTAGGCGATCGCGATGGCCACCAGACACGCCGCGACATACGGCGGGACAGACATCAGCTGCGCCTTGGTGTCTGTCCAGCCGAGGTCGGTCAGAATGGTGGGCATGAAGACCGACAGGCCCTGGACGGTGATGTTGATGAGGAAGAACCCCAGGGCGCAGGTGTAGTTGTGGATGCAAAACACGGCCTGCTTCAAATCCTTCCAGGTGACGGCCGTGTGGGGGTCGGCCTTGCTCTCGCGGATGAGGCGCTCGGCGGCGATGCGGCGCTCGCGCTGGCTGAGGAAGTAGGCGCCGCTCGGGGTGGTGGGCATCCAGATGGGGGCGACCAAACCAACAATTACCGTGATGACGCCCTCAAAGAAGAAGATGTTGCGCCAGCGGTCGATGCGCATGCTCGCCACACCCCAGGCGGGGATCCGCGACAGGCCCGTCGCCAGCAGACCGCCGAAGGCGCCCGCGATAGACGCGGCCGAGACATAAATGCCCATGCGGAAGAGCAGCTCGTTGCGCTTGTAGAAGCAAGACAGGAAAAATGCCATGCCCGGCATGGCGCCGCCCTCAAAGATGCCCAGAAACACGCGGGCGACCATTAGACCCTCAAAGGACGTCACAAACGCGGTGCAGAGCGAGACGAGTCCAAACCCGCACACCAGAAAGGGCAGGTAGAACTTGCCGCCGACGCGCTTGAGGATGACATTGCTGGGCACCTCGACCAGCAGGTAGACAATGTAGAAGATGGAGAGAGCCCAGTTGAAACGCACGCCCGTGTTGAGCTGGAGGTCGACGCCGAGCCCCTGGATGCGGGCATTGCCGATGTTGATGCGGTCCAGGAAGCACAGCATGTACAGGAGGGTCACGATGGGCACCAGGTGCCAGTCGATCTTGCGCCGCACCGCCGTCTCCTCGGCCTCGGTCCACTCGAGCTCCGAGTCGGGCACCCCGCTGCCACCGTCCGAGAGGTCGCCGCCGTCTTTGTTGTTGGGCGGGGAGTCGGCGCGCGATTGTTCCAGTTGATGGGCTGAGAGCAAGTACCACGTCAGCGGGCGTCCAAGTGAGAGGTGTTTTCGTTTGCTGCTCACCAATAATCTCCTTTTCCGGGTACATTGTGATGAATGCCCCTGAGCTATCTAGCGTCGTGGGAAACTTGCTAAAGAGCGAAGCACTACCGCCGCCGTAATAGAAACACAGATTGGAGTCGGTGTGAGACTGGAGAGAGACCGGAGGTTTACCGTCTTTTACGACCCAGCAAGAGCTACCACACGTGGTTTAAGAGCCTGGTTCAATGGGTGGCATCGCAGGGTACCCATCAGCGAGTCCCGAGCATATACCCCCGCTCCCTGTCTTCCTTTTGCGACTACTAACCACCTAGTTCCGGTACCGGGTGGGACCCTGCTTACTCGTCCAATGGCGGCCATGGTGCCAGACCGGCTGAGTGTAACCGGGGTCCGAAAAGAACGAGAAACCCAGCTCGTTGCCGGCGAGTGGCCTCGCAATGGGATCATTGGGATGCACTCATGACTGTGCGGAGTGTTGGTCGTCAGCAGCAGCTTGCAGGTCATCACTCTCGGCAGATAGATTTTGGCCCGCCATTGCTGCAAAGCTGGCCCAGCCCATCTGCCAAAAATTGCACGCCAAGACGTGCCTAGGCCGTTAAGAATGCGGGGAAGTCAAGGGTAGGGGTGCTACAGCCAGGGGGTTCATGGGAAAGCATGGGACGAACATCAGGCTAGCAGGCCGCCTCCCGCCACTGGATCGCAGCCGGAAGCTTGAGTCGGTATTTATTAGCTTGCTTCCAGACAGACAAGTCGAGAACTCACACTGAATAGGCCGGGTCAGCTGAGTGCCGCCCTGCCAGACGACGCATACGATGTTCTAGCCCCGGCTTGGTGCCATTGTTGCTGAGACGGCAGTCAGGCCCAATTCAAAAAATAAAAAAAATAAAAAAAAAAAAAACACAGGAGCAAGGGGTTTCCTCGGCTCCCCCCAAGAACCGCAGAGGCTACCTGGATGTGCGCATCGGCAACTTTTATCGAGCTCTCCGGCTATGCGGTTATCCAATATGTTACTCCAACCCAAGTGGCTGGCTCGGTTATGCTCGCTCTGGACCATGTTGCAATCAGCCTGTTGGCCCTGCCTTCTTCCAGCCAATGCCGGGTGCAGATTTGCTCACGGAATCACCGTGCCACAGCTTACCTTCCATACCATTCAGCACGTAGTCAGCATCCCAGATTGTGGCCTTACATAAAGTACTGTACCTTGCCTTGCTGTTGTGAACTGCCACTTATTAGTATTAGTCGTTGACCACATAACCTGGAAGTCATGTCAAATCAAAGAGACGCCGGTTAATTAGAGTGCGGTACTGCCTTCAGTCATGTAAGGATCTTCCTGTTTCACCAAGAGGCGCTGCTGGCCGTATCATATGTAGGTAGGGTACATGTACACCTACCTTAAGATATGTAGGGATTTTAACTGCCACTTACCTACCACATTATTCTTCCTTGCACCATGGGCCATCATGGGTTATCTGTGCACACCTATAATTATCTATATGTAATCTAGCATGTCAGGAGAAAGTCATCTATTCCCTATGGAAGCGTGCGACGCAAATCATCCAATTACCATCACGCGGCCTACAAACGCGAGACACCAGGCTTCTCGTTGTACAGCACATACCGGTATCTCGGCTTGCCCGCATCCATGTCCATAATCGCCCTGTTGGCATCCTTCATGGGGATCTCCTCGATCCACGGCTTGACCTTCTGGTCGACCGCCAGCTGCAGCATCTCCCTGATGTCGCTGGGGGACCCAATCACGGAACCCGTGATATTGAGCCGCTTGAAGATGAGCGGGAACTGCTGGATGGTCGGCAACCCGTCCTCGGGCGCGCCGACTTGCACAAACGTGCCGTCGAAGCGCAGCAGCGACAGGTACTGCATCAGGGGCATCGATGACGACGAGACGGTGCAGACGATGACGTCGAGCGTCGACGCGTGCTTCTTGGCCCAGTCCGCCTCCTCGCCCGTGGCGATGAAATCGTCGGCGCCCATCTTCAGCGCGTCCTCCTTCTTGGCCGACGTCCGCGAGATGACGACTACCTTGTCCGCCTTGAGCGCCTTCGCCCACATTACGCCAAAGTGGCCGAGCCCGCCCAGGCCGATGATGCCCACCGTCTTGCCCGGGCCGACGCCGTGGTGTTTGAGCGGAGTGTAGGTAGTAACGCCTCCGCAGAGCATGGGCGCGGCCTCGGCCGAGCTGAGGGCGTCGGGGATCTTGACGACAAAGTGCGAGGGCGCCCGGTGGTAGAGCGCGTAGCCGCCGTATGACTTGCCGCCGTTGAGGTAGACGCCGTTGTAAGTGCCGACGTGCAGCTTCTGGCAATAGTTCTCCATGCCCGACGCGCACGCCTCGCAGTCGCCGCCCTTGCGGCCCAAGCACGAGTCGCTCTGCGCGCCCACGCCGACGCGGTCCCCGACCTTGAGGCCGCCTTCGGCCTTGGATCCTACGCGCACGACGGTGCCCACGATCTCGTGGCCGACGCAGCATGGGTAGTTTGTTGGTCCCTGTGTTTTGCGTTAGTAATTGCTCAAAGGCTCAATAGTCCAAAAGTATCTGTCTTCTGCTTACCCAACCGCTGCGGAGAGTGTGCAGGTCGCTGCCGCAGATGCCACAGTGTGTGATCTTGATGTCGACATCCGTCTCCTCCCATGGCTTCGGCTCGTATTCACCCCATTGCATCTTTCCCTGGGCCGCCGACGGGTCAAGGCCCAACCAGCCCTCAAACTTGTAGTCGGAGGAAGACATGATGATGTCTTGATGTGGTCTGCTAGGTTGTAAGGAAGTGGATGAGAGATCTCGCTGGAGGATTGGTGAAGTGGTGTGATGTGACCGCCCTGAGAGGTGCACAAGAAAGGAGGCAGATGACAATGGATTTGGTTTGAACACTGACAGACTGAATATGACATTGAGATTGGGGGTAGTTCAGGTAAATATAGGAGTAAGGCAACTGCTTCTTTTTGCCCGGATCCACGACTCGTTCAGGTCCCGCTGGAGTGATGCTGATTTACCCCTGAACCTGGCGACTACACCGAATATCAGACATATAGTGTGGCCACTAGCCACCAGGGACTTGCGGTTCTTCCAGGAAACCTCTGCTAAATTCCCTAAAGTCCGCTTAACAGCGACAAATCCACAATGTGTAGAGTTTTCTAGAAGCCGTGCGTGGTGGAGTTGGCGGCGATATCTTCTTGGCTCGGCATCGGCTTGGAGGAGGAAGAATCAAGAATGGAAGAGTGGAACTATGACGTGAAGAGCCTATTTCTCGAGTTTGGAGTGTGGGTTATCATGCCGCTCGAACCTTAAAGCGTCCCCTCGTATCAGGTAACCTTTCTGATAATGATTTGTTCGAGCTGGTTTTCCTCACAAGAGACCCTTAGCAGCTCAAACCCAATAGCTTTTAACGAGCGAAGGCAGGTTTTTCATGTCACGGATCGATTGTTGCTACCTTAGTGACCGGTATCAACTAATAGCGGGTACAGATTGCTTTTCAAGTTAATTTCACGAAGAACCAGTCACGATGGAACTACACCTGGAATTTTTCTGTAATAAGGGGGGAGTGAACGTTGTAACGTCCATGAAAGGTGCAAATCTACGTGTTTATTGCCTCCAACGACTTCTCGGTCCCCGGACTGTGCTCTCAACGTCATCGACCTGCATATGCTATCTCCTTTCCCTCGCCCCTATCCAAGATATTAGTTCCAAGAACATAAAAAAAAACAGCCGTTTGTGCCCAACAACCACTGCACCGGGAGGTGATCGGCCATGGAGAAACAACCCAAGGAGCATAAAGCCAGATATGGCCAAGTCAAACCGCCGATAATGGCCCTGAAGACCGGGAGGCCCAGATGGATTTTCCCCGACTAGACACATTGGCTGCAAATGGCCGAGCCCACCGACTCTACCTGAGAGGCACGGTCCGGGCTGCACTTGCTGATGACGCAAGGCGCCGCGAGTGAGTGTATCTGCGGCGCGGCACCGCATTGGCAGTTGAGGTCAAGAATGCCGCAGCCAGCCTCGCTGCCAGCAGAAATCATGCAGGGGATCTGGATCCGTCTGTATTAGCCTCAGGAGTCCTGAATCGTGTACAATACATGTGTATAAGGTAGACAGCAAGACAGTTCTGAGGTGATGGACTTACGGCACAAGCTGGGATCTCGGTCGTCAGGGGACATGGTGCTTCTGGCGCGGTTGTTATGGCCGATGGAGCTTCGGTGATTAGGCCACGAGCCGCGGCGCTGGCGCCGAAGACCAGGATAGTGACAAGGAAGGCCATGTTCTCGGAGTACTCCGGATTAATATATGACTCGTTTGGGTCTGAACTTTGAACGGCTTGGCACTCGATGCCTGTCGACCTGCGATGATACTGATCGATTGGGCGCGGTGAAGACTGGGTCGACCGGAAGTCACGGCGGTGACGGCTCTCATAAATACGGTGGTGCCGGCATATCAGAAAGACGTCGATACCATTATCCCTTTCGCGGTGACCCACATCGTGCTTGGCCCTCGATATCTGTTACACCGTGAGACGGTAGGAATCGACATCAGGAGCCAGATGCGTCGAGACCATGTGAACTCGCCGTGCCTGAGTCGACGAGATTCTGCTTTTTGGCCTCGTGATTTGCGATCGAGATCTTGTGTCGAGCACAACCGGGCTGAGGGTCAGACAAGGAGCCAGTACGAAAGTCGTCGTCCTACTGCGAGCACCAGTCGACCAGCTTTTGTCACCGACGTGCCTAACGAACGCGAGCCGACCAGGCCTATGCCACCAACTCGGAAGCCCTTCGCTTTCCAAAGCAGTGTCGGATGACGGACTTAGTTACAGCTCAACCGCAATGTCCTTGCCGACTCTGGTCAAGGGAGGGATCCGCTCGATGAACATCCCGGCGTTCTTCAATGCTGATGAATGGCTGACCGTCAGGGCAGTGACAAGACGGGGCCGGAGGGTCTCGTATATTGGAGTTAACCGTCACCGGGTTGAATGGTCTGGGCCTGCTTCGAAAACTCCGTTTTCCTACACAGTATTCCATGTTGCTCGTCTTGCAATGATGGGGAATTTCAGCCTGAGGCCTGGGGCAATTCGAATGAGACAGTCGACTTCCTGTCTCTGCCAATCAGCAATGTCATGGTGTACCCGGCCGCTGTTGATCAACGATAAAATGTATCTTCGCCCTGGCAAGGCTGTCAAACTAGTTGAGGTAGCAAATGCGTTATCGAGTGTTGGTGAGAGTACGCAGTCTGCCCAATCTACAGGACCGTGATGGGCCAAACCGTGTTGATCTCCAATTTCTTGTGTGTTTTCGGTGACGATTTCTGAGTGGATTGAATGCTTCCAGCCTCGGCCGAGGTCAGGCAAACCGGAAAGCCACGCTGCTGGCCCCGTTTCCGGCTAAAATGGCCAATTGGCCAACCAAAGCCCGGCAAACTTTTTGGGCCCCACCGAAAACAGACCGCTCTGGCTCCACAGAACCCCAGATCCACAGTGACTCGTGCCCATCGCTAGGGAGAGAACGAGCGCTTTCAAGACCACGTCGACTGGGTTGTTCATGTGTCACCTCTTCTCGCCCATCCTTCCTCCCTAACGATCACGGACATAATGCTTTCCTCGCTCAGAATCGTGTCGCGGCGGGCGGCCGTGACCCGCAACTTTGCGGCAGTTCGTGCGGCGTCGACCTGGGCGAATGTCCCTCAAGGTCCTCCTGTATGTTGCCGTCTCTCCCGCCATCTTCAGCTTGTGTTCTGGAAGTTGTACGACTTACTGACCAAGCCCTGTCACAGGATGTAGGTGTTCCGTCAAAATCCGAAGTCTCACGCTCTCTACCATCGACCTGCTGACCGGTGACTCTTGGTGGCTCCTGTCAGGCCATTCTCGGTATGTGTGGCACAGCTCCCAGCTCTGGAACGAGGCCAGGAACTGACGCGTGCTCGTGCGCAGGTATCACGGAAGCCTTCAAGGCCGACAAGTTCGAGAAAAAGATCAACCTCGGTTCGGTCGACCCCCCCCCTCCCGATCTCATGGAACCCCGCGACAGCTAACACGTGGTGTTGCGTTTCGCAGGCGTTGGCGCCTACCGCGATGACAAGGGAAAGCCCTACGTGCTGCCATCTGTGCGCCAAGCCGAGGAGAAGGTGATTGCATCCCGCATGAACAAGGAGTATGCCGGCATCACCGGTGTGCCTGAGTTCACCAAGGCTGCTGCCGTGCTCGCCTACGGCAAGGACAGCTCGGCCCTCGATCGCCTGGCTATCACGCAGTCCATATCGGGCACGGGCGCCCTGCGCATCGGCGGCGCTTTCCTCCAACGTTTCTTCCCCGGCGCCAAGACCATCTACATCCCCACGCCGTCGTGGGCCAACCACGCCGCCGTCTTTAAGGACTCGGGCCTGCAGGTTGAGAAGTACGCCTACTACGACAAGGACACCATCGGCCTCGACTTTGAGGGCATGATCGCCGACATTAACAAGGCCCCCAACGGCAGCATCTTCCTGTTCCACGCGTGCGCCCACAACCCGACCGGCGTCGACCCCACCCCGGAGCAGTGGAAGCAGATCGAGGGGGCCGTCAAGGCCAAGGGCCACTTCTCCTTCTTCGACATGGCCTACCAGGGCTTCGCCAGCGGCGACATCCACAAGGACGCCTTTGCGGTGCGCTACTTTGTCGAGCAGGGCCACAACATCTGCCTGGCCCAGTCGTTCGCCAAGAACATGGGCCTGTACGGCGAGCGCATCGGCGCCTTCTCCATGGTGTGCGCCGACGCCGAGGAGCGCAAGCGGGTCGACTCGCAGATCAAGATTCTTGTTCGCCCGCTGTACTCGAACCCGCCCATCCACGGCGCCCGCATCGCCGCCGAGATTCTCAACACGCCGGCCCTGTACGAGCAGTGGCTGGTCGAGGTCAAGGAGATGGCCGACCGCATCATCACGATGCGCGCCCTGCTCAAGGAGAACCTCGAGAAGCTCGGGTCCAAGCACGACTGGAGCCACATCACCAGCCAAATCGGCATGTTTGCCTACACGGGCCTGACGCCCGAGCAGATGGACAAGCTGGCCAAGGAGCACAGCGTCTACGCCACCCGCGACGGCCGCATCTCGGTCGCCGGTATTACGAGCGACAACGTCGGCCGCCTGGCCGAGGCCATCTTCAAGGTCAAGGGTTAAAGGGTCTAGGATTGAGAAGACGGGGGAGTTGGTGTAATGGATTGCAAGCGGTGGCTGACTGATGGTTTCACCGGTTGAACTTGATCTGTTCCTGCATGTGCATGTTGCATCTCGCGTTGCTAGACCATATTCCCTTCGATGATCGACACGCTGATACAGGGGTGGATGAACCGGGGGACCAGGTGTTTGCATGTACAGCAGAAAAGTCCCTCGGCTTAGTGCAAGGATATACGACATGTTTAGAGCAAGAAATGTGATTGACCATACAACCTGTAACCTAACACAAGACACACAGGACGCGTCAGTCATGTTCAACAGACGGCCGAGCTTCTGTCCGAGATCAAAGTTCACTGCCAAAAAACTTAGGGTATCACGCCATGCCCAACCTCTCCAAATCGGCCCTCACCTCCTCCACCTGCCGTCCCATATCCCGGTACACCCTTGCCATCTCCCTCATGACCTTCTCCTTGTCACCGCCACCGTAACCGCCCTTCCCGCTTTCCACCACCACCATTTCCCCCCCATCATCCCCGGCAACACCAACACCAACACTAACCCCATACGCCTGCAGCTCGGCCCGGAGCGAGTTCACCGCCTCGCTCAACCTTGCCCTCGCGTCCTGCAGGTGGGCCGCATAATTCGCTAGCGCCCGTGCCGCCTCGGGCGTGTATGTCTCCCTGCGCGCACGCCACAGCGCGCACTGCGCCTCGGCCTCCTGCGTCTGGGCCGTGAGCGAGGACTCGGTCGCGCGCAGCTCGAGCGAGCGCGCCACGGGGCCGTGCTTGGCTTCTAGGGCGCGCAGGAGCTGGGAGAGGACGGATGTTTGGGATTGGAGGAGGGCGGTGAGGGTCGTTAGCGTGGTGAGGCGGGCTAGGGTGAGGGAGGTTTTGTGGGAGGAGATTGTGCGCGCGAGCGAGGCGGCGATGGTTGGGAGGGAAGGGATGGTGCGGTGAATGTAGGAGGGATTCGTGGATGGGTTGGCTATGCGTGCGAGGTGGACGGCGGAGGAGTGGAGGGTTGTCGAGACGAGGGATGCGAGTTGCGGGAGGTGGGTTGGGAAGTCGGAGATGGGAGGACTGGAGAGGAGGAGGGCGGTGGACTCTGGCGGTAGGTCGGTGGATGCTGTGAGGAGCGGTGGAAGGAGGACGAGGAGGTCGAGCAGTGGTGATGGTAGATCGGCGATCGGGGTCGTCGCTGGTTGTTGTGGCCGTGGCCTCCTGGTCAGGGACGGTGCTGGCGCATGCTTGGTTTGCAGAAGGTGTGGGTTTGCGTCGGATATTGCGTCTGCGAGGAGATGCTCTTTGGCAGCCTTGAGGCGATATTCGTTCAACTCCTAGCAGATAAGCGGTGAATTGGTCGTTTTCTTCAGCTCGGATGCTTTCTGGTCGACTTTACCTCGGTGACCCTGCTGCGCTCCTTGGCCGCGGGGTGGTTTTTGGTTGATCCATCCGCGTTAAGGATAGAAGTTGTCAGCTTCGAGTAGAGAGCTGCAAAATCTGGGTTGTTTTGCAACACGGTGTCGTCAACCAGGGGAAGCATGGCGGCTGTCGAGGCCGTGGGCTTCAATGTTCTTGGTCGTCGTGTGGCGCCCATTCGGTTCAATGGGCGCGACAAACCGGCGCACGATAGCATGTGACCGATCCCTGCCAAATTGAGAGCCGGTGCCAGCTGTTCAGCCTCCCCGCCACCTGCCAATAGCTCATTCCGCGACTCGAAATTTTGACCTCGCAACTTCCCTGTCACCTGCCGTCGCCCAGAGCTGCTGTTCCTGCACCCATTGATATCACGGGCGTCAAATTGAGTCAATTGAGCCACTCCCTGCGTTCAACACTTGCCAATGCGACCATTATAGCACCACTATCATCCTCCACTCTTTCACCCGCGGCTTGAGAGACAAGTTACCGCAACCGCCATGCCGCCAACACTTCAAATCCCGACCTGCCTACGGGCAGCGTCAAAGCCCGTGACGGCCGCCATCCAGCAAGCCATTCTCAACCCAACGACAAACCCAACAATCCCAAGAAGAAGAACCCTCACCACGACCGCCCGGACACTCTACAAACAGCATCGCGTCCCGAACTCCTCCCTGCCCATCCCCTCCGTATCGGCCCCGCACCCGGAGATCCCACCCTACCCCTACGGGCCGCGACCCGTCTACCACCAGTCCAACACAGGCCTCTACGGCTCGGCGCGCATCCGCTTCGGCAACAATGTTTCAACCAAGAACGAGATCAAGACGCGGCGCACGTGGCGGCCCAACGTGCACCACAAGAACCTCTGGTCCGAATCGCTAGGCATCATGGTGCGTACGCGCGTGACGACGCGCGTGCTGCGCACCATCGACAAGGTCGGCGGGCTCGACGCCTACCTCTTGGGGCTCAAACCGCAGCGCGTCAAGGATCTTGGACCCTGGGGGTGGCGGCTGCGGTGGCGCATCATGCAGACGCCTGCAGTGCGGGCGCAGTTTGCGCGCGAGCGCGAGGAGCTGGGCCTGCCGCCTGTGGAGGAAGTCGGAGCAGAGTTTGATGGTGGGGAGACGCGGCTCCCGGATGGGACGGTTGCGGGGGAGGCGCTGATGGCTGAGACGGATAGGATGTTGGCGGAGGAAGCCGAGTTTGGGCTGGGGCCGGAAGAGGGCGAAGATGGGTTCATGAGGGAAGAGGAGAAACCGGCGAGGCAATAGAGGTCCGGGGAATGACGGTATTGCTTTTGTTACGGGCCGGATGTCATCTACAATAACTGTACCATATTGTCTTTTTGATGTGTGAAAACTCTCGCAGCATTCCCGTGCATAGTCATACTCTCGGCGTGGCACCGTTCGACAGCAACGCACTAGAAATACTGTAATCTATCAAACCTCTATGAAGAGTCTATGCTACCGTGACATCGCCTGGCTAGGCATGAGGGTCATAGGCGTGCTCAAGACAAATCAACAGACACCAGATTGCCCTCACATCCCATGACAACTGCTCAGAAGCGTAGGTCCCAGCCGATCTGAGGCCCCAGCTTGGGCAGCTCGTCAGCAACGCTCTGCACATCCTTGTCACCGCGACCGCTCAGGCAGATGACCACATCCTGGTCCTTGTCCATGGTCTTGGCCAGCTCAATGGCACCGTAGATGCCGTGCGAAGACTCGAGGGCGGGAATGATGCCCTCGAGCTGGCTCATGAGCCGGAAGCCCACAAAGGCCTGAGCGTCGGTGGCAGCGATGAACGAAGCGCGCTCCATGTCCTTCCAGTGGGCCAGTTCCGGGCCCACGCCGGGGTAGTCGAGGCCCGCCGAGACGGAGTGCGTATCGTTGATCTGGCCGTGCTCGTCCTGCAGGATGTACGTGCGTACACCGTGGAGCACGCCCTTGGTACCACCCGTGAGCGTCGCGCTGTGGCGGGACGTCTCGATGCCGTCGCCACCGGCCTCTACCCCGAGAAGCTTGACGCTCGGCTCGTTGCTGAAGGGATAGAACATGCCGACGGCGTTACTACCGCCGCCAACGCACGCCACCACAGCATCCGGGAGCTTGCCACGCTTCTCGAGCATCTGCGCCTTCGTCTCGTTACCAATGACCGACTGGAAGGTGCGGACAATGGTAGGGAACGGGTGCGGGCCAATGGCCGAACCAATGATGTAGTGGGTGTCCTCGAGGTTGACAACCCAGGCGCGGAGAGCTTCGTTGACGGCGTCGCGGAGAGTGCGGCTGCCGGCCTCGACAGCGACAACCTTGGCACCGAGGAGCTTCATGCGGAAGACGTTGAGGGCCTGACGCCGGACATCTTCGGCGCCCATGTAAACGGTGCACTCCATGCCAAACTTAGCGCACACGGTGGCTGTGGCGACACCGTGCTGGCCGGCACCCGTCTCGGCGATGATCTTGGTCTTGCCGAGACGGCGGGCGAGGAGAAGCTGGCCCAGGGCATTGTTTATCTTGTGGGATCCCGTGTGGTTGAGATCCTCGCGCTTCAGCCAGATATTGGCACCACCGGCATACTCGGTCAGCCGCTCTGCCTTGTGCAGATGGCCGGGGCGGCCCATCCAGGGGTAGTAAGAGCGGTACTCCTCCCAGAAGGCAGGGTCGTCCTTGATCTTGTTGAAGCCCTCCTCGAGCTCCGACAGGCAATCCATCAGCGACTCGGGCACGTACTGACCGCCAAACTCGCCGAAGCGGTCCGTGATCTTGCTATGCATGGCCGACAACTGGGCGACAAGATCATCATCGGTATCCCTGACGACGCCATCCACGTGGACAGTGCCGTTGGGTTCCTTGGCCGCGGAGACAGCCTCGACAATGCCGACTTCACGGGTGGCCTCCTCTTCGGCTGAGGTGGTGCGACCACAAAGGTAGGAGCAGAACTCCCGGACTGCCTTGCACTCCTCGCCCTTGTTGGCCGTCTGGAGCGTGGTGACAATCATAGAGCCAACCACGACACCGTCGGCAATGTGGGCTACCGAGACAAAGTGGTCGCGGGTGCTAACCCCAAAGCCAACCGCCGCAGGCTTGTCGCCGCTGTACTTCTTGACGCGGGCCAAGAGTTCGGGAAGATTGGCGTTGAGCGTGCCAAGGGCGCCCGTCACGCCCTGGCGGGAGACCACGTAGATGAACGAGTCGGCCAGCTGGCAGAGGAGGCGCATTCGAGCGTCCGAGGTCGCCGGAGCAATCAAAGGCACGTAGGAAAGACTGGGAGCGGCAGTTGTCAGTCCCGAATCAAGCGGAATAGAGCGTGGACAACAACATACCCGCCACGAGAGCAGAACTTGCGGAAGGACATAGCCTCCTCAGGCGGCAAATCAACAACAATGAACCCATTAACGCCGGCTTCGATGCAGTCCTTCATAAGGCGCTCCTCTCCGTAGCTCAGCAGGGGGTTGTAGTAGCCCATCAGCAGGATGGGAGCGCGCAGGCCGAGCTTGCGCGCATCGCGGACCATCTGCAGGGTCGACCCAATCGTGACGCCATTTTGAAGGGCAACCTGTATTCCATCGTGGCACGGTCAGTGTCTGGTTGGCGCGGGCAGAGTCAATCATTTGGTTCGGCACTCACGGTGTTGGCAGTCTGAATGGTTGGGCCGTCGGCAATGGGGTCAGTGAAGGGCACACCAAGCTCAATGATGTCGGCCCCGCCCTTCTCCATGGAAAGGAGCACATTTGGGGTGAGCTCGGCCGTGGGGAAACCAGCCGTGACATATGTAACCAACGCGGCCTGTAGTGGAATTATGGTCAGCCGCTCGTTGCACGATGGTTGTCGATGGCGGGGCAATCGCGGGAACGGGCTCACTCGGTTCTGCGCCTTGCAGCGCTGGAAAGTCTGCTTGATGGCTTCCATAGTGGGCGCGATGGTCAATTGGGTCGATGGAAGTTCAGTCTCGTCGCACAACGAAAGGGTGCGACGAAGTGCAGTTGTGGACTGAAAAGGTCTCCTGAAACCCTTTGTCGAGGGGCGATGAAAGAGGTTCAAATAGCAAACCTGGGAGGCGAGGGACAGGGTTGGTTTGAGTCAACTCGCGCTCCCAAATTTTGGATGCACCCCGCATCAAAAACGGCTATGGTAAGGTACCGTACGGGGATATGCCTACACTTGTACTGAGTGTAAACAGCTTACACAACAGTTATTTATATCCGGCCTTGCCAGATCTCAGCCAAATATTTGGTGACACCGGCAACGCGGGGAGATGATGACGGAGTACCACTATCATTCTGGACTAGTGTCTTGGGCCGTAGAAGCAATTTTGTGCTGCAGATGGGCAAACCAGAGACTCAATGGCTCGTTCATTTCATGGGGCTCGAGTCGAAAGAGGCTTCAACTGGGCCTGTGCTGAGTATTTTGGGACCTTAAGGTAAGGTATAGTACAATACCTTACACAGCGTTTGCATCTCGCAGCCGGAACCTCCGAGCACTGGAACCTGGTTCCAGCCAAGCCACCTTATTCTCTCCCTCTGTCCAAGACATCGAATCCCGGCTGATTTCTTTTCCTGCCACAGAACTCGTTGCATCTGCAGCTTTTAGGTGGTGTTGCATTTCGTGGGATGCAAGTATGGGATCAGTCGACGTTTGTCTTCAATACGGGTAAAGCGACGCAACAACACAGGACCCCGTGTCAACAGCAGCGCCATAAAGACAGCGGCTGATAAACATTTATCCAGGCGATCCAACCGCAATTCCACAATTCACATCCACAACACCGCATCACCAAAGAAGGGGAATGGCAATGCATCAGCACAGACACCACAGCAATGTCAACCAAACGGAAAGGGTATCATCTCTTCATCTAGCGGAAAAAAAAAAAAATAAACACAATGCTACTACGCAACCTCAATACATCGCCATACTCCAAATGACCCAAAACGCCCTGCACTAAACAGCGTGGGCGTCCGAGAAGGGATCTTCCGAGTACCGCGGCGGCGGCGGCGGCGGCAACCCCAGCGCCCATCCATCATCATCCCCATCCATCGAGTGACCCGAGTCGCGGCGCCGCGGCGGCAGTCCACGACTCGTCGCCCCAGGCGGCCTCTAGCGGTCCGAGTCTTGGTCCACCTCAGGATGGCTGCTTTTCCTGGCGTGCGACGGCCACCTCGCAGGGCTCGGCCGCCCCTTCCTTACACTGCCCGCGTACACGACCGCAACGTCCTGACCATAGCTCGAGTAGTCGTCGCCACGGAGGGTGCCGGCGCCACTGCCGTGGCTGCTCCTACTTCCAAGGACGCGAGTCGGAACATCCTTCATGCCGTACCCCTCGCCGCCCTCGGCCCGCGTTTTGTCGCTCTGCGCGGCCGACACCAGGGCCCAGACGACGCCGATGAGGACAACGATGACGTAGACGAGCAGCAGGGCGGTCGAGATGAGCGCCTCCTGGATGATGCCGTGCTCAAGCTTGCTGATGACGCTGTTGACGGCCGACGTAATCTCGTCGGTGGTGACGCTTGAGGGGGACGCCAGAAAGCTGGTGAGGTCGCTGTCGCCGTTGACACTATCATTCGCGCCCTTGGCGAAGATGTCGTTGGAGAATTGCGGCAGCGTGACGTGCGCGTTGTCGTGCACCCACGTCAGGCCCTTTTGCACCGCGTCGATCTTGCGCGTGATGAGGCACCCGACGAGATTGCGCGCCGTGTTCATCAGGATGGTGTCCTTGAAGACGGCCGTGAGGGCCTTGTCGATTTCGGCGTCAAACGTGTTGAGCGTGTTGTTGACGGCTGTCGTGGCGTTGCTGACCCAGCCAAACAGGTCGCTATTCATGTCGTCCTGCAGCTTAACGATGACGCCGTTGGCGTCGTTGGCCCAGTTCGTAGACACTGCCTGCAGGGTGTCAACCACGTCTCCGGCAAAGTCACCAACCTGGCTGGCCAGAGCGGGCGCCTCCTTCTTGATGGATGACAGGATGATGAGCTGACAGACGCACGAGAATAAGCCGGCAATGGCAAGAGACAGGACAAACAGCGCAGGCCGCGATGTTCCGTACGCGATCATCCACCGGAGGAATATCCTCGTCCTCTCCGTAACTTGCCATCTCTCCGACAGCCACACCCCGACCCGGCTCGTCGTGGGCCGCGAGGAGAGGTAGACGACATCCATGGGATCGTAACCGCGTTTGGTAAATTCGACAGCACGCGTCTTCTCGCTGCGGAACCGCCGGATCTCGAGCCAGCCGATGACAATGATGGCCACGAGTGCCAGGATGGGGATGACGACGGTGAAGGCGATCTTGGCCTTGGCGACGATGTCGAAGAGCGTTTGGAAAAAGTCGTTGAGGAACGAGTTTTGGGAGCAGAACGAGAGCGCCTGCTTCTTGGCCACCGGGAACACCGAGTCCTCAAACTTGTACGACCCGAAGCTCGCATTGACCTGCTCCTTGACGAAGCCGAAGGGAATGCCGATAGCGTTCTTGGTAAAGTTCTCGACCTGGTCGAACGTCGGGATTGTCGTGTTGAGGGATACCAGGTCCTTGACCAGGTCATTGCTGTCGATCTTGATGTTCTTGAGGTCGTCCAGGTTCTTGCTGATGTCGATCTTGGGGAGGTCGACACCGAGACCGATAAGGCTGGTCACCTTATTGGGAATGTCGTTGATGGCGTTCTGGACATCCTCGATGGTGTCGGTCATCTGGCCGGAGATGGTGCTGATGGCATCGTTCATGACTTTGGTGGCGCCCTCGACGACTTTGACAGCGACGTCCAAGCCGCCGTGGATCAGCGCCACGGCCAGGCAGACAAATGTCCCGACATACATGTTAATGATGAAGAAGATGAGGTTCTCGACTCCCGTCAGAATCATCATGAGCATGTGGACCATGCCCGCGACCGTCTTGGTGATTCCATCCGACGCGAGCGAGTTGACGCCGACCGAGAGGTAGTGCGGCATGGAAGCCATGGCGCTGCCGATATCCTCGACCTTGGTGCATGCTGAAAGGGCCTTGACCTTTGCGTCGCCGATGTTGCCGTTGAGGTTGTCGGTCACGAGAAGCACGCGGACCAGGACGAGTATGAGGAGGACGGTCCAGCGGTTGAACCAGAGCTGTGAGAGCCTTGCTCGAAGTCCGAGATAAGGAGTGACGCTGGGGGCTGTATAGGGCCGGAGTTGGGGTACTGATCTGCTCTGGGGCTCGTCCTGCAAGTCGAGAGTATGCCAGATGTTGAGGTTGGAGGGGACTGGGGGCAGTGCCCCTGACTTTTCGTTGGAGAACATGGCGTCCAGCGATCGGTAGAAACGAGGCTGTGAGCCGTGGGAATGGGTGCAGTGATGCTGTTGTGTCTTGATATCCGGATGCAGATTATGGTAACCGAATTAGGAAGTTGATGTTGGTTGGTGAGGTTATAGACCAGCTATGCAGAAATTGAAGGAAACGGAAGACGAAGCAAAGATGAAGGGAAAGCAGATTCCCAAGCTGGAAGAGAATGACCCAACGCCCTAGTGATGCATGACTGTATGTGCGACAATGAAGACAATGAAAGGAGACGAAAGGGGGACAATAACGAAGAATCACAACAATGGAGGGGAGGCCATTCATTGTGCGAGAGCGCGGGGGAACCCAATAAAAAGGGACAAAGGTCTAAAACTGACCCCATGACTGGGATGCAACAATTAACAGCGCAAAGATAGATCTTGACTCGCCTCTGCTTTGTTTTCGGTCGCTCAAAGCCAATACGTTGTTGTCAGTCCGTCAGTCAAGCGCTTGCAGTTAAGCGCTGGGTCCTCGACAGCCAGTCGTTTCTGCATCCAGGGATCACGAAGCGGCTCCCCAAACGTCTTGGCTTTCACCCACAGAGGCGGCCGCCCGGATCGCCAAAACATCGTCCAAGCGAGCTGGCAGTCGGTTCTCATGGATGAACTCGGAGTCATTGCATTTGCTTTCATGGAACACCGATCGAGGTGGAGGTTGATGATTGATCCGCAATCTGGCTCGCGGACAATGTAAATCTGGGAAATGCCAGCATGCGCTGAAATAGTCATACCTTCAAATTGCTTTCACGGGCAAGCCCTCTGATGTACGCGCAAGTCAGTGCCAGCTCATCAATATCTCTGTCAGTGGCGATGCTTCAAACGGCGGCGGGTGAAATGCTTCAATCGAAGGGCAATGCCCGGCTGCGTTGATCGTTTCGTTTCATCGAAACGCCAAGCCGGCTGTCCCCACAAACAACACAGCAAGGTCCGTAACAGATCTTCCATTACACAGTAGGTAGCGCAATTTGCAGTCACAGTTAGGGGTAGGCAGGTAGTCTCTGTGGTGAAGCAGGAAGTCAACCCATGAAGGAGCCCAGGTAAATGTCGTTTGAAGCTAAAAGGAGACAGCTGGTCGAGAGCGGATGCCGCGTCCAGTGTCTGCCGCATGTCCAGGCACATCGCTGGAATGATTGGCCGCCAGCCTCTCGTCCAGGCGACCTCGCCACGCTCCACTGACTGAGGTTTACCGGCGCAGTGGGACCACTTCACAAAGTCACATGGTGTGACTGTCAACCCTAACACCACCGTTAAGGCTCAGGAGACCAAAAAACGACAAGCACCAAAGTTAGGCCTCCGTTCTCCCACCAGCCATGAGATTCACGAATGTTGTAAGTTGCGGCACGACTTAACCCGCTCATCAAGTACCTTATGAAATCATGCCTTGAAACTTCCCCCTTTATCGCAAGCCCAAGTTCCCGTTCTTTCACGACCGGCCTGCCGCCACCGCGTCATTATTCATCACCCCCTCGAATTCGCCGTCTCCCAAGCCCTACCCAAATAAGGAAAATAGAATCCAATCCCGACTTGAGTCGATGGATAAGGGGGTATTTTTAAGTTGTACATTACGTTTCTGGCTTCCCTCTTCCCATATTTCCATCCCTCCACTAACCGTTTCAAACGCCATTCCCTCCATGCGCCTCCAACAGCTCAAACGTTTCTCCAGATGAGGGCTCGGTTTCATGATGAGCCGTCCTCCGGTTTCATGTTGGCCTTGCTCTTTGTGCAGTCAGGGAGATACTCGGATTCGGAGACGAAGTAGTCTCCCGTCCTGTTCGCGGTTCCGCCGGTAGTGTTAAGCATATCCCAACGCAGATCCGCCGCCCGGGTGTTGCTCTCTGCCTCTGCTTGTTTGCGCGCCTCCTTCTTTTCCTTGTACGAGCGGGCGAGCGCAGAAATACTCCAGTTATTCTTATTGCTTTCGTTAGCCATGGTGAAGCGAGTTGTCGTGCTAGTTGCAAACGAGTTGTCTAGGTTCGGCGCCTGGTTTGGTTGAAGAAAGGAGCGCTCCTTGGGCTTCATCGACTTGTATTGATGTGTTCATATGGTAGAACTCGATGTTTTGTTTCCTTGGTTGGGTATAAGGTGACAAAGACAAAGTTGAATCTCATGCATCCTTTGATTGTGTGCTCATAAAGCAAAGCGGCGCAACGGCATCAAAGAAGCAATACCTTCACTAATATTCTGCTTGTCCTCGGTCTGGTAAATCGTGATATAACCCGTCTTTGAACAACAGAGTTTGCTGCCTCCTTTGTGGCTGACTTTGTGCCAAAGAGCCTGTGACTTGGGAGTCCTCCCACCTGTTGCGGCTCAGACTCTCAGCCGGCCAGATGCCAAGGCCGCTCTGACTCAACCTCCTCGATGGCACATCGGTAAGGACTTCTTTCTTTAGAGGTTAAAACACTGTTTTACTAACATTAGTCTATATTGGGGACCATTGAAATTGTGCTGCAGCTGCTTGGAAAGGCATTTTGGCGATTTTGGATGTGATTTGGAGAATTGGGATTTCTTTGTTGAGACCCGCACTGCGACGAACAGTGATAACGGTAACTACGGGTACTATACGGAGTACCTCCGTGATTCGGACGTGCCAAACAGTCCCCGGACCACAGCCCCATTACGGATCCGTATATCCTAACCCTGGTCATCTCTTCGCACCGGGGCGGTTTGGCACCGCTCCATTGAATTGATTTCAGGTACCCCAAATCTATCAAGCGCATCGCTCCGAATCGCACGCATTCGACGCATTTGAGTGCATTAAGATGCTTTCGATTGAGCGATGCCACATGCGGCCTGCGATGTGGCCAACTGTGCAAAAAGAGATTAGAGTTGGGTATGTATAGTGGAGTGCGGCACTCTCTGGCACGTTAAACGTCACTGTTTGTCGCCGGTGTCTCCACTTCTCTCCGGCACCGATTGTACGCCGCGTATTCGATGATCCTGCAGCAGCAACGCTGAAGCTCAGCTTTCCCGCCGTCATTTGAGTCTCTGGCGATCAACTGAATGTCGTGTGGTCAACAATCTCTTTGATTTTCGAAACAGTTACCGGTACTAGTTAGGGATGTCTAACTAGCGGTAACGTTGTACAACCGTCGGCAAATTAGGTTGTCACTCCATGACTTACGGGTAACTACTCGTCCGCGTTACAAATCGCTGATCGGACTAGCCGCCGAGGGAACTCTGGCGCTTGACACAGTAACGCTTTAAAGCGCAAATCTGCCTCGGCTTACATGCTGACGTTACCGTACCCAGAGTCTCATTCGGCTTGGACAGTGCCAGATGCCAGACCTGATTGGCGCCAGGCATATATGCATGGCGCACCGCCAACCAAGCGCAGGTCTGCTGGGCGGCAGCGACTCAGCGAGGCTGAACCGAACGCGACCAGAGCTGAATCTGCTGACCTTTATTCCTGCCATTTCCACACAGCATGGCTTGTCCAGTTCCCTGCGTCAATCATGCTGTCAGCTATGCCCAGTATCGGCATTAGTGTGGTTCGTAGTCAAAGGCATGGTGCAAGCACGCTAACATGCAGAACCAAGCGATTGCCGGCGAAGGGCTTATCGTCCTGGATGGCGCTGTCGAGGGGGACATGGCAGTTGGGTAGGTTCTTTAAACCACTTTCAGTACCACCCTCCTCCAAATGGCCGCCTGGCTGACAAGACCCGCTCTCGAGTTATTTCTTCCTCGACGGCCTGAATGCCAACCTGAAAGAGACCTGGACGCACGAGACCAATGACGGTTCTGGGTTCTTCTGGCCGAGCCAGCGCCTCGCCCATATTCCAGGGCGCCACGTCATGACCTTCGGCTACAATGCTGCGTGTGAGCGGGCGTTGGTGGAAAAACGCCACAGCCATTGACGCGATCGCCCAAACGCTCACGAGTCGCCTGATAGACAAGAGGAAGGGAGAACACGTCAGTTCTCTATGAGAGGTGGCCGGCAGTCTGTGGCCAGCGTGATTGACAATTTCGGCAAATCAACCGACTCTGGGGTCCATTGTTCACAGTCTGGGTGGCCTGGTCATCAAGCAGGTGTGTCTACGATGTATATCATCTTGCTTCCATTTTGGCTTATCGACTGTCATCACACCGCAGGCTCTTTGCAACACCCACTCCAATCGTCATGCTCGGCTGGAGAACCGCAAGATTAGGGAACAAAAGGCCATCTACGATTCCGTTTCTGGCATTGGCTTCATCGGCACTCCTCATACTGGCAGCATGTTGCTGCTGCAGCCCAAATCGAGGCATTGAAAGCCGGTGCCGCCGCGGACTTCAAAAAAGCGTCGGAAAAAGCTGATGATGACCTTGTCTGCCCATTCGAGCGAGTTGCAGGATCTCAGGAACAGTTTCGAGCGGCCCACCATCTTTACCCAGCATGTGATCAATATATGCACTTTCTTTGAGACCAAGACGATCAAATTTGCCGGAGAAGAGGTTTGTCAAAGAATTTGGAGCTCAGTTATGCGTGATCTAACTCCAACCTCGCCCAGATCGTCCCACGAGATATGGCCATCTTGCATTACATGAACGAGAGAAAAGAGCCAGTTGCGAAGGAGCATGCCAAGATGGCAAAGTTCACGAATGCTCAAAATGACTTGTACCAATCCATCTGCGAGAGGCTCAGGGACATGGGCACTGATGGCTTACACATACAGAGAGCTTGCCAAGGTCCGTAGGATTACCTTTTCAGCGTCCGCCAAAGATCAGAAGCCCATAAGGTTCCTTACTCACAACTCTGCAGCAACCTATCGCATTCTGCAGATTCCCAGCTCAGTTACCAGAGTACACGGTGCCTACTTCCTCTCGACATGCGGAACATCACGACTGGAAGGAAAGGGCCGGCTGGGATCACCTCCGAACATCCCAATTCACTCCCTGGCTTCGCGCGTCGGGCAAAGCCAGGCCCCGAAAATGGCCACCGTCTCCTTCGTGACAGTGCCTTGCCTCCTGTTGGATAAGAAGGGCTAATGGTCACTTCCGTTCGTGCACCAATATATATAACATGAACACTCGTGTTCACTGGTCCGAGATTTCTGGCCGATGTTGCTGTGTTGAGTTGAGACCAGCAGCCATTTTGAACTCACACCCGAACAAACTTTAATGCGGACCACTCTGACGTGTCATACTTTACCAAAGATGTTGTGTAGGTTGTTGATCTGGCGTGTTTGTTTTCCTCGGTCCTTGTCATCAAGGCAGGATAGTACTGTATCCGTACAAGGACCAAGCTCAAGTAACTATTGGATAAGAATCATCGTCCTAAGGTTTTTACAGTCTGAAGGCGATAAGTTCCTTCGACTTATCGTTGAACACAGATGAATGGGTATTTGATTGTAATATAATATAGAGAATCAGGTGAACTCCATGTCAGATAGATGCCCGGGTCTGAGGACGCTTCATTCGCCTTTCCATAGGTCAATAGCTAGATTTGGTGGTCATAAACTTCGTGGGCAGGCTGGGGGTTGTACCTTGCATGACTAGATACCCTGACCGGTTGGTCTCTGAAAGGGAAGTAAGCTAAGTATCACCCTTCATTCACTCACTGACTGTGATGTTTGTCACGGTTATAACTCATTTGGGAACACTCATACTGTTCAAGTTCCTTTGGGGCGAATGCTCACTGACACGCAAGGCAGCCAAACAACTCATTGAGCACTGTACAGCAGATCCGCAAGTCTGCAAACACCAGGAGAGATGAGAAGAGTTGAGTTCGCATTGCCACCAAGATAACAGGCCTACTTTCTGTGTGTCGGATAAACAATCCAACCGGCCTTGCACCATGTATGTGATGCCATGGTGGGGTCCTTCAAATCATCTGTTGTCTGACCGTCTGTGGTCCCTCGAGTATCCGGGAAGCACTCCGCAGAAGTGGCCCAATATCGCCGGCGGCCTGGGCCTGTTTGCCCCTATGCCATGATATGAAACATTCAAGGACTGCTGCCAATGCCATCACCATGTCATGCTTGGAACCGGCGGGGGCACTAACGCTCTCCTCTTATAGCACAAGAATGTTTGTGAAACCCTGCGCAGAGGGATAGGGAGAACGGACGGACTTAGAAAGTCCGCTATAAGCACCAATTCTGGGGACCTCCATGATCCTCATCTGTTACCTGTTAATTCTCCCCACCTGTGAGTTGACAATAAGGAGTATTTCTTGGCATGAAAGCTTGGATATCAGGTGCCCTGAACCCCCCAAGCCATCTTCCATCACCTCAAGCCTTCCTGGCCGGTTCGATTTGCCAAGTTGAAATCGACCGCAAGCCGTACCGCCCGCGGACGGATTTGAAGTGTCCGTGAACCACTGAGCCGAGTCCGTTCCGCATCCGGTTCTATTCGTAACGACATGGATGGCTGACCTCGCGGCTCGGGTAGAAAGCCGAACGATCCCGGCTGGAGAGGCCGGTTTGGAGACCTAAATGAGCAACAGGGTCAAATGACGAGTTCTTCCACTCCGAGAGCAGCATCCCCAGTTCACCAAGGGCCTAGAATATACCCCATATACCAGATTTGTTATCCCCCCTGAGATTAATGGATGCTTGCACGGTGACATCAATGCAACACCGGTCCCAAATAGCTTGCCGAAACCTGGGATCCAGGCTTTCCCTCGCGAACACCTTGCAGGTCGCTGAGTTGCCTCTTGTAGCTGTACCCTGCTTTCCGCCGTAATAACCCAAGCCTAACAAGTAAGGTGGGGACGCGATGGACCTCGCGGCCTGCCGAGGAAACGGTGGTTCGAATGATCGGTCGAGTAAAAGCGGATATCGTGTCGTAAGGCGGGTGATCTGCCAGGGCCGAGCCGCTGTGACGATACTTCCCAGCTTCCTGCGAGCGCCAGCATGAAGTGGCGCGTAATGGCACATCCCATGGAAAGCTGGTCAGGCAAAAATGAAGCGCAGGAATGTCTCGCTTCCGTGGCGAGACGGCTGAGCCCCCGAATTCCCACTCACCGCTTCGTCTCCCATCACCAACTCTCCCATTCCCTCCTCCCCACTCTTCCAGCACACAACACCCCAAGCTGGTCCGTAACCCCCAACACCACACAATGCACCACCAACAACACCAAACTCCTCCGCCAGCCCCCGATTCGACGTCCCACCGCACGCTGACTGGTACCTCCCCGCTCCCCTTCTCCAGACCGCCCCGCCAATCCCGAACCCGCCCCCGACCCGGACACATCCTGCCCCGTCCCCTCTCCAGACAACCCCAGCCTCACCCTCCCACCCAGCCCATGCCCCTCTCCATCCCATTCCGAATATAAATCCCCCACCGCCAACCCCACCACAGCAGCCAAGAACGCCCACCCAGCACTATACGGCCAGCAAACCCACGAAAGCGAGAGTATCTTCAGCACAAACAGCACCAGCCTCAATAACCTCGCATTCGCCCTCGCCCAGCCACGGGCACGGTACCAAGTCAACGCAACACCCTGTCTCATCCGTTCCAGACGAGTCGTAGGAGGCGGCATGAGCAGCGGCGTGGTGATTGTGGCGGCCGGGGGGCTGCTGACGGCGGTGGCAGGTCCCAGGTTGGGGCTGCGCTGGGGTGAGCGCGATGGGGAGCGGCGGCGTGGGCTGTGGCTGTGACTGTTCTTGTGGTTGCGGCTGCTGCGGGAGAGGGTCATCGCTTGGGAGCCTGCTGTCGCTGGAGGGCTGATGCGCTTTGTGAGGAGTGTGCTGGTGGATGTCTGCGCCGGGGAGTCGGGGGTGGCACGGCGGAAGGGACCTGGGAGGTCTTCATCTGTTGTGCTGTTGACGCGGGCGTGTTTGGTGGGGTCTGGGGGTTTGCATGTGTGAGTAATGCTGATCTGAGTGTGAGGAAGCGGGTGACAGACCTGGAACAGGGGTGCTTGGCGGCATGGGAGAGTCTAAATTCTGGATTCTGTGTCCAGAGAGGCCTAGAAGCGGGCTGGTGTTTCGGGAGCCTCGTACCATACCATCCAAACTGGATTCGGCTGCCATGAAACCCAGGACTTCGTTAGCGGCGGGCCGTTCTGCGGGATTGACAGCGAGCAGTCTCTTGAGGAGTTGGTAAAGTTTGGGAGGCAGATCCGGCCGCTCTTTCCTCTCGTCCTGGAACCCTTTCCAGTCGGAGATCTCGGCGCGCAACTGATCGATATCCTCCAGCTCTTCGTGGATCATGTTGGCGTTGGCATACGGTAGACGCCCAAAGCACATGAAGTAGAGGATCATGCCGAGGGAAAAGATGTCCGATTTGGTGGTGAAATTGCCGTAGATGCCGCGTGCGTCCTTCCTTAGGACTTCTGGCGCACAATACGAGATGGTGCCTGTCGACCCCGTCGACTTCCGAACGGCATCTCCCGGCTGAACTTCGCCAAAGTCGCTAATCAGGCACTTCAACTGGTTCCCATCGCGATGCAGAAGACAGTTGCTCGGCTTAAGGTCTCGGTGGATATAATTCGCAGCGTGTAGGTAGGCCAAACCAGAGGTCACATCCTTGAAAAGGGAATAGATCTCTTCAGGTGGTAGACGTTTCTGAATCTGGGGCCGCTCAGCCTGGCCCTTGGATCTTCGCCGCATCTGGGCCTTGAGCTCCTCCTTGGTCGCCTCTTTTGGCATGTCGCCGATAATGTAGTGCAGCAGGTCGCCCCCGTTGCAGTACTGCTGAAGTATGAAGGCGCATGCGACGCTGGGGCCAAACCGAGTGAGTTGGACGTCTTCCAACCAGACGTGGCGGTACGAGACGAGGTTGGGGTGTGCTAGGTTGGCAAGCAGCTCCACCTCAACAAGCACCTTCTCCAGCCAGGCGTGATCGTCTCCAACCGGGACGCGCTTGCAGGCAAAGTGCCCCAGGTTGCAGCCGTCAATCTCGTGTCTCACCAGCAGGACGACACCTTTCCCTCCTCTGCCAAGCTCCCTTTCTTCAACGAAGAACGTGTTGAAATAGTGTGGGCTGAAGGCCTCTCGCTTGATGCGTCCACCGCTCTGAGGGGCAGGCGAACTGCTGACAAATTCAGCCCTCGGTATCCTTGCCTCGACTTCATCCTCATCGTGGACCACGGCGGGCAGAGGCTCGGCTAATCGACGGACTGGACTCGGCGGTGGATGGACTGGGGAAGCACTGCCAGAGTTATGACCAGCGCGTAGCATGCGGAAGTAGTTTGGGTCAACGTAAGTGTCGTCATGATGGGATCGTTCGTAGTGTCTGTCAGGGGAAGCTGAGCGCAGGGGCTGGTGGCAGGTCGGACATTCGTTGAGTTGCAGACCCCGGATCTCAAGACGTTGGGAGGAAGGGTCGCGGACGACGATGGCGTTGTAGTGTCGGCTGCGGCAGCAATATGTCAGCAAGACAAGATACACCTTCTATCAACAAGCATCTCCCTTCAGATTTCTGCAGGTGGAAGGTAGGATACAGGCCAGACGACGACGAGGGGTGTACGGCAGCTTGGTCCCGGAGCCCTGGAAGAATGACTTACAGCACAATTTCGCGCCCTTCGCGTGGGTGATATGGGACGAGCGACATTCTGCCTGAATGGCTTCAAGTTGTGTTCGCAATGCCGAAGCTTTCCATTGAATGCTGCTCGCAGGCTGTTTTCGATCGCCTGCTGTATCAATTGTTGGCGGTTGTATTGGCCGACAGACTTGGAGGTGTTCAGGGCTTGGTAAGGTAGTTGGTAGTGGAGGGTTGAAGCGGGCCAAGCCCACTGATACACTGAAACGCACAGACGCCGTCCGATCTTCAATGGGCGCTGACGATTCAACGGCCCCACAGCGGCCTTCCTCGAATACAATGCAACCGCAGCGGACACGACGAGCCTTCAGGACTCGACTTAGGTACAGTAGGTGGCGAACATTCAGTTACACATCGTTGCTCCATTCGAAAAACTGCTACACTCAAAGCTGGCAAAGAACTTTGATTACACGACGAAAACCAAAAAGAAAAAGTTCATTGATCGCCGCTCTTGTGGCGCATTGTCACTCCCGTCTTCAGCGAGGCGGCTGGAGACAACTGACCGGCTTTCGCGTGCACTTGATTAGCACCTCAAGGTATGGGAGCGCGTTTGTCTGTCCTCCAAGTCTCACTGTTTCTGATTATCAAATGATTATATCCGTTTACAAATACAGAATTCAATCGAAATCATTCTTGACCCCAGACTCCGTCGCGATCCTGTGTCTTATCCCTTATTGCATGCGCACAGCCCTCGTCCGCTGGTCTCAGCTCATGATTCTACCTCCTCAGTCTTTTGCAAGTCCCTTCTGCATATCAGCAGGCCGGGGACCTGGATGACCACCATCCGCAGGCTGACTCGCGCTGTTGTTCGCTGTGGCGGAAGTAGCCGCCGATGTGTTCCCTTGACGCGGCGGGCCGGCGCGCGCAGATGACACTGCCGCGGGTGTTGAATTTGGCGTAGCAGTGGGGGCGCTAACCTGAGAAGCCGCCCGAGGGTCTCGAGAATCTCGACCGCAAGAAGATGGGGCGATACTGCCGGAGGGGGTTGCAGGAGTAGCTGTTGCAGGCGTCGATGGCCGAGGATTCATTGTCGCTGGAGTTCTTACCGCGGGTGCGAGATTCCTTGCCGCAGGAGAAGGGGTCTTCGCCGGAGCGGGTGATGTGGGAGCCGCAATTTGCGTTATCGGATTGCCGTGGCTCTCGGGTATCCGGAGTCTGGGACGGACAGGTCGGCGCCCAGTCCGGCTCTGGCCGCTTACGCCAGCCGTCCCCGGCGCAACTCCCGAAGCGGTCTTTGCAGCATCGGCATGCGACGCAGGAATTGGAGTCCGGCTGGCACCGCTACAGCTGCTTTGCTGAGCCTTGGTGGGCTTTCCAGAGCCGGAGGACGGAGAAGAGGTACTAGTCGGCGAAGACGTCTGCGATTCCATATTGGTCAAGTTATGTCTCCACCTCAGCCTGAGGGAACCCAACAACGAGCTTCCATTTCCAGCGCCTTGGCGAGTTTCCCACTTCCCAATGGTCTTGAGAGGAAACTCGAAGTCTACTCAGAAAGGGTCAGTCCGGGCGCGTAACCAGCAGTTTCAGTTTGCGACGGCCAACGTACTGCGCTCAACCATCGCCCTTACAGCCTCAGGGTCAACCTCGATTTCCTTGTTGTCCCACTCAAGCCGTATCCGTGCCCGTGGGATTTGTTCGCCCCTCTCCCGCACAATGGACAATCCAGCATAGCCTCCAAGGACGCGGAGCTCCCACGTTCTTCCTGCCTCACCGTCCTTCTCCTTGTAAAGACCGGGAGGTTTGAGACTCTTAGGCGTATTTGTAAGGTACCCGTATCCCGACAGCAGGCCCACAAAACAGTGAACGAGTTCATGGGCTATCGTCAGGGCACCGTCGACCAGTAAGGCTCGGTAATTCGAAGTGACACGCCGCCGGCTGCGGCTGTCGCCGCCCTGAGAAGAGAAGGCCTTTACTGCTTCCATGCTTGCAATCGGCTGGAATTCCGGGCTTGTATTAGCGCAAAGACGGTATCACAAGTAGGAACCTGAAAAGACTGACCTCGTAATCGAGCTGCATGACTCCGGCCTCCGCGGCCTTCCAATGGAGCATGACGTTCTCGTTGCTCGGCGTACTGCAATTCGATACACACCTCCCCTTTGCAGCCGCCACCCAGTCGTGCCGGCCAAAGGTTCCATAGTATCTGTGCCCAGAGAGCCTCTTTGGAAGAGGAGTTTTGCGATTGATGTTCTCTACCTCAATGGGCGGGAACGAGTGACGAATCGCCTGGAGGAAAAAGTCTACCCATTTCCTCATCTGGCGGATTTGCCCGACTGGGTAGATGATTTGTTTCCATCCTTGACCCAATCTTTCACGCAAGTGGCACCAATGAAAACGAGCGCTCGGACCGAACTTTGGTGCTCCAGGATATCGAGTGCGAGGCTGACCATGCGCGCGATGGCTTCATGATGTTCCTGTTTGAGCGGGTACTCGAGCCTGCGTGACGGGCGAATGTCCATCCTGGGCAGCGTCGTCGGCTGTGCGGGCATTTCGCCCGCGGACTGGTTGACCGTGGATTCATACTCGGGAGGGTGTTGGTAGGGGGGTGGGGGTTCGGGAAAGTAGAGCGCATCGGGGTCGTCAAACCGAGGAGGACGCGCATCGACTATCGGGGCATCTGACGGATGATGGACATCGACGATTAGGGCAAAAGGGTACGCGCTTGGGCCCTGAGGATAGGAGGGCGTGTACCTTGATCTTGTCATGGAATAAGCCTGCGCGTTGATGTCCGAGGAATGGTGTGCGTCAACATTTTGGGCAAAGGGGTACGAAGAGGATGTTGAGGGCCGGGGTCCCTCTGATGGTAGACGAGACTGAGCGGCAGGCCGAAGAGGGTACGTGTTGGTGGTCCCTTGAAAATAAGTTGGAGTGTATCCTGCTGTGGGATGAGGGTACGAGGAGGTTGTCAAGGAACGAGCATAGGGGTCGTAACCCTGCGGCGCATCAGGGGATACAGTCACCACTATGGGCTCTCTGCTGCTGGTGTCCCTCCTGATCTGGCTGAAGCTCCGGTATCCTGCCGGGGAATGATAATCCGAAACTATTGACAGAGCGTCAGGGGATACAGTCACCACCATGGGATTTCTGCCCCTGGGGTCCCCCCTGGTCTGACTGTAGTCCCAGCTCATCTCTCCTGGTGGAGGAAAATGGGTAAACGACTTGTTGGTCACAGCGGCTGAGTGACCTCGGGATCAGAAGTGAACGAGTAAGGTGTACAGAGTGTTGGATGTCAATAGGTAGCGTTGGTTGAACCTTTGCTTCCAACAAGCTTCTGAGGTCTATAACCGAGAAAGGGGAATGGAAATATATGGAGATTCAGCACCAGTACAGTTGTGCTGCTCGTCCAGAAGTCAACACCCAAATCTTCACCTCTTGTTATTTTCAGCACTTCTACTTCATCCATGTTTTCTTTCCTGTCGGTTTTCAGCTGTCCGCGAAACCGTAGATCAAGCGAGGACCTGTGTTTCAAGACCGCACGAACTTCCTCCACATCCGGCGTAGCTGGGACCAGCCAAGCCACAAGAAGAACCAGACACCACAAGATTAACCTGCCTAAAGGGCAGGTATACAACTAGGCGGCAAGAACATGCCGACCTGGTCTTGGCCGGATATCAAATGGCTCCGTAGAAGGCGGCCCTGGCCGCCCCTCCGTGGCTGCCGATGTGGCTTTGCGTTGAGTTTGGCCAACCGCGGACCCCAAGATGGTACGAGTTGTCAACGGTCGACTCGGGCAAAACGACTGGGCCCGGTCGTTCCGCCGAGGACTAGTTGCGCGACGGGCCTGGGCCAGCCCCCGTAGTCACAGCTAATAGTTGCTGCATGTTCGTTGTTGGATGTTGGTAGGGCAGCGTCACGTTGGCGCTTCGCCCGCCAATCGCACACGCCAACACAATTAGGCAGAGAGCATGTTTGCCATGTCCTTTGTTGGTTCCCTCTGGAGTTTCTGATCATCTCGTCTCTTGCGTGCGTTGCGGTGTATCCGTTCGGTTGATGTTTCAGGTACAAGTTCTCTTTCTGTCCTGGACCCAACATTGATTCTCACGACTCGTTTCCACACCTCCCCGCCTCGAACCCTTCGTGTCGCCTTCACGGGTCCTACAAACTGGACAACGGCAGTAATGAGCCGCACAGATGCAATCCTCGACAAGCAGCACCGCGACATCCTCGGGCGTGCAGTCCGGAACGTGCTCGACACACGCCTGGCCCTGGAGACTGTGCCCAGATCGTCGATGGTCTGCCCCTCGCCAGCGTCGCCTTTGATCAGTACCGTTACCGCGTGACTAGGCCTCGACCCGAGTCACCCAGTCTCCGAGCATACGTCGCTATGTCCAGGCGCCGAGGAAGCGGCACGGCAGTTCTTGTCTGGGCTTGCCATTGATACGCTGGAGTTTGATGATGAGCTGCTCCGCTCCTTTCAGTCTGCGGCCCCTCGCCGTCGCAGCTTCGATTGCCGGCTCATCGAGCTCGTGGCCGTGGCTGTTCACAAGTTGGCCGTCATCTTATTCAAACAGGGCCACCGTATCCACGACAAGCAGCCCTGGGAGACGGCCTTTACTATTGATCGAGTGACCTCGTGGCAGTCGGAAGAGGATCGGATGCGTGGATATACACCACCCGGCCCAACGTTGTTCGCGCACTTCTCATACTATGCCAGCGACCAGTATCCTGACGGGGTTGCCGACATGATCGGCTACTGGGCCGAGAACCGGATTCTTGGAGGCGTCATCGTCTTCGACCAACACGAGGCGTGGGACGACGAGCGCTCCGCGGAACCCAACGCATGGATTCACTCGGACCGCGACGGGGTCACCATCAGGCTCTGCCAGCTGCTGGACGAGCAGCAGCGGGACCTAATCGACTTCCTCCTCTCCGAGTCGCCAGCCGATGCTTGCCCCTGTCCACTGTCGCCCTCGGCCAAGAACCTGACGCGTCTGGATCCGATGTTCGCCACCCAGGACGACGTGTTCAGAGACATCTGGGAGCGTGAGCCGCCGAGCCTGTATCCGAGGCGTGGACTGAATGGCGTTGGCGGCTGTGTGCCCAGTCAATTGGATTATCCGAGGGATGACTTGGTGGGGGGTCGTATATCGATCGCAGGCAGCCGAAGCAGTCAGTCAAGCCTGGCCTACTTGTATATCTCAGCGTTGGAGAGATCGATTAGGTCTAGTTAATATCTCTCGTTTTCACTTCTTGGTCTCTATCTAGACTACCTCCGTCACAGCACAGTCTACGCACACAGTTCCTCTCGCCCGCTCCCTCCTTGGTTTTGATCTTTCAAAGATACCTGTGACCTATCGTAGTGTTCTACAACTCTGGTCCTCAACCTCCCGTCATGTAGGGGACACTAAGGAGCGGAATGAGTACCCGGCGATCATCCTGTACAATACTGTACATAAGGTATTGTGCAATAAGACGCGTCCCGCACACTCCGTTCTAGTCCAAGTCACCAAACTGCCCCTTCACGCTCCCTCTCAGCACGTGGCCTTGCCTTTCGATAGTCTACAGACCACTTTTGAGGGTGGTTTGGTGGGTTAGTCTCCGAACGTCAATACCGGCTTCCGTAGTGAGTCCGAAGCATCTCGGACCGGATGCTGTGGGTCGCACTTGCCAATGGTTTTTGGAGAGAGGATTGAACTCATCAATGACGTCCTTCAGCCGCAAGTCGCGGGGAGTCAGCGCTCCCATGGATCGCGGCAAGTGCCAGTCTTTTCATATCCGGCTGGGGATCGACCCGCTGACGATTTGCCTGGCTTGGAAGGACCGGGAGTGGGCAATGATGCTGTGGGCGGTTTGGTCGGAGAGGAGGAAGTCGACAAGTTCCCTCAACCTGACTGTTGAGAAGGCGGCAAATGCGGAAAATCACTTGACGTCTGTCGACATGGATGTATATCGCATCCAGCTGGCATCAAAGAAGTTAGTACCTGGTGTCATTCGTGTTATGAAACAAATATCTGAGGTAATCAAGTGCTCATTGACGGATCCCTCGTTGACTCGGGGTTCCGGCGGTTGTAGCGGACAATACCGCCAAGAATGTGAGCCTCGGCCCAATACCCCACACAGTCAGCTATGCCCTCGGGGTCCTGATCGTAGTCGCGGTACCACGGGTGGCAGAAGAGGATAGTAGGGAAGGTGGCAGGGTAGAAGCGCTGCCTTTCCTCCGAAGGGGCGCCACCTCCCAAGGACGTCATTTTTACGCCGCGTTATGTCCTGCTGGTAAAGCCATACCGCAATCTCGTGGACCGCTCTTGCAACAAGCTTGAAAAGCCCGGTGGAGAAGCCAGAAGACCTCGGCGGAGCAGACTCGAAGTCGCGAAGGAGTTATACCATAGTAGGCCAAACAAACCGTTATCAAGACACCAGACTGCAAGAGGCTTTTCGTAGTTTTGAGAGTTCTTACTCTGGAAGGCATGAGCAACGTGCTGGGATCGAAACCGGAACACAGTTCCTGGGCCTCCTCGGCCACCCCAGGACACAGTTCTTATGTTCAAGCGAGGAGCGGGTGGCCCGCGCAGACATACTCTAAGAAGCGATCTAGGGCGACCTCGGCCAGCGAGAGCCCATCGACGATTTGAGCATACGTCTGCTTGGCAATCTCGCTTGACAATGCATGTTGATGGCGCGGACCATTGTGTCGCGGGCAGGGGTCTTGAGTTCGTGAATCGGCAGTTGCTCAGAACGGGCATCCGGGGGCCCCATTGTTCAATCGAAACTCGAAAGTTGGGCTGCGTTCAAGACGGAATTGCGACGACTCGACCAGGTAGGTAAGTACTTGGTCGTAAGACGTTAGCGGATTCCAGAGATAGAGAAATGGTGAAATGATATCGGGTGCTTTATGTGCGGATGAAGCTGAGTCCGCGAGCTAATGGGAGCGGGTTCTGTAACGTCTGTTAACCCCTACTGACCTGCTAAAGTGATCAAGAGCTGAGACCAGTGGACGAGGGCTGCAGCTCATCTCCATTCTCCAAGCGCTCAGTGAGTTCCATCAAGTAATTCAGGTTTGGAGACTAGACTCTTGCGAGTTCTGCTTGGGTTAAAGGGGAGAATGCAATGGGTTTCTCGGCGATACGCTGCGTATCTGAAGTCTGCAGAGGTTGGAGAGATGCCTGAAATAACTACTTACCTAACAACAGTGAGTGAAGTGAGACAGCCGATTCTGAGCCAGGTGGTGCGAACTTCAAATCCGACACCTCGGGCCACCTGTCACTGGATCTCTCATTGAACAGATTGTAAGAAAATCCGTCATTGCCCTAGGTTCTCTGTAGCTCGAGCGCTGAAGCCTGCGCTTCGAACATTACACATATCAACAACTACCCAACGTGGGTTAGACCAAGCACCGGGGTACTCCACCCTGTGAGCTTTCTCAGCCCAAGTCTGAGATCTGCCTAGTAACTGTAAGGTACCTTACATTGAGAAAGCGGTAATCCGTGCGCTATAACGGGTTCTTTCAAGGTTGTCTGGCAGCCTGGCAGCCTACGGCGAGTGACATTAATTACACATGGTACCATGGCGATGAATCTGCCGTTCACGAGGTTCTACGCGACCCTGAATTGTACGTTGAGTGCGGCGGTTCGATGGTCAAGTCGAGCCTTCGATGGCTTGACTCTTCCATGCCTGTTGGGTATGTGAGACCATTTCGGTTTCAATAGCCCAAGACTGACAATTTCAGCTAGTTAAGTGAGTAAAGAACCAAACTGAACGGAACTCGAAGCCCGAAAGTGTCGGCTGGCAGCCCATAGCCAATCAATAGCGCCCGCTTAATCTCCGCAACCGCCCCCCTGCCGAATCCCAGATGGACGACGGAAGTAGACCCACTGCTGCGCTCCAGCCCCGTGCTCAATCCACAGTCCAGACCCGGCCAGCCTCGACTTCTCATTCTGTTCGCGTCTTGCTTCCCAAGGCCGAATCGACACTGGCACTTTTCACTCTCGTTTCTTTTCATGCCCAGAAGTGTCACTGTCGAGGCGACATGACTTGGCCTAGCTACCACTTTGTCGACCTGTCCGCTGATGAGAAGCAACTCCGCCGCCAGACGCTGGACAGGTATGGGCTGCTGGCCCAGCTCTCGGCTCTGATCCCCGTCGTTGTGATTCTGCTCTACCGGCTAGCCAAGAACGCGGCGAACTGGCGCGGGACCAACGGCGACTATGCTGCTGTCCCCAGCTCGCCCGTCCTCAAGGAGCGGCGCAACAGCAGCGCCGGCAACCCGGGGGCTTGGTCCAGGAGGGCTCAGTGGTGGTTGGGTGAGGATGTGGTTGTGACCGGCAAAGTCTACGGGCAGCGTGATCGTACGTGTCAAGTCAGGGTTCAAGTTGGCTTTGTTGCACAGCATGAGCAACGGTCCCAGACTAACTGTTGGTAGAGTGGCTTGTTGGGATCTTGTGGACCGCCTGGCTTCTGCTGCTCTCCATAATGGAGACTGGGGAGGGTATGTCTCATCTCTGCTTTGTGGTTGTGAGCGGCTGCCTGACTGTACAGACTATCTGCACGTCACGAAACGGCTCGGCCTCGTCGCGATATCCCAGTGGCCGCTCCAGTACCTGCTGGCGCTCAAATCGCTGAACCCCGTGGCGTATCTCCTTCAGTCTTCGCACGAGCAGGTCAACCGCTGGCACCGAGTCTTGGCACGGGTCACCACCATGCTACTCTGCCTCCACGTGGCGCTCTACTTCAACTTCTTCGTCCAGAGGGACCGCCTAGACCGGTTGGGTGACCCGGAGGTTCTCGCAGGAATCATGGCTTTCTTCGGCCTGTGTCTCCTTCTCTCGACTGCCCTGCGTCCCGTCCGTCGGTTCTCGTACCGTCTCTTCTTCATCGTGCACCTCGTCATGGGCATCATCGTACCCGTTCAGATTATCACCCACGCTGGCCCATCCAAGCTTTTCTTGCTCGAAGCCCTAGGTGTCTTGTTACTCGATCTAATTTCCCGCAAGATGGATACTGTCACGGGGAACGCGATGGTGGAATCAATTCCGGGGACGGACCTCGTCAAGATCACAGCCAGCATCCCCCATCCCAAGATCAACCGCTTCCGCGGGCAACCGGGGTCCCACATCTACCTCAGCCTCCCCGCCGCCGCGCGAAAGTCGATGAGTGCCGCTTCCATCTCGCACCTCCTGTTTGAGCTGCTGTTCAACCCCTTCACCGTGGCTGCCGTGGACGACGAGAGCGGAGACCTGACCTTGATTGCGCGCCACTGCGGCGGCCCGATGACGAGGGCCCTGGGACGGCTGGCCAAGCTCGCCAGCAACACCACCAACGCGACCAACGAGGACAAGATACCGCTGTCCTTCGAAGGCCCATACGGCGCGGCGAGTCGCTTCCCTCCGTTTGCCGAATTTGACCGCATCTTGCTCGTTGCCGGTGGCGTCGGCGCGGCTTTCACGCTCCCCCTGTACCGCTCCATCGTCGGCGAAAATCCCGGGGCCAAGGTCCAGATGGTGTGGGCTGTCCGGCGAGCAGGCGACGCGACGTGGGCGGTGACCGGCAAGGATGCCCATCCTCTGTTGAAGGACGACAATATCCACCTATACGTCACGGGGGATACGACTAGCGCCGAAAGGCCGGAGCGTTCCCGGTACACGCCCGCTGCTGAGCGGGTCGACGGCAGTGACGCCGGGGAAGGCCAGGTGGAAATGAGCGCCATGTATAGGGATCGGCGGCGGGGCCGGTACACGTCGCAGCACAACCGGAAGCGGCCGGACCTAAAGAGGATTGTGGACGATCTGTTCAAGCACGGCCAGGAGGAGCGGGTTGCGGTGCTCGTGTGCGGCCCCAGGGAGATGGCCGAGGATGTCAGGGCACATGTCGGCGTCTGGGTGAACAGGGAGCGGTCAGTGTGGTATCACAAGGAGGGCTTTGGATTCTGAACCTGAAGATAATCAAAGCAATGCAGTGCCCTCTTCATAGAAAGGGCAGCCAATTCTTTGGTATCAGTGACAGGTAATCATGCCTTCATATCCTTTTCTCATACATTGTAACGCCAACACAACCACCGCTTGCCAGCTCCGTTGTTCCAAAGGAGCAAAAGAAAAAAAGGTCCCCAGGCGTTGCAACCGCTATCCATACATTCTGCGCCAAGGTGATAGAGGTCGTCCTTCACCGCTGTTCCCGCGCCCATCAATCCGCGCGCTTCTTCACGTCTGCATCCTTGCCCGCCGCCGGCGTAGCGGCTGCACCAACATCGCCGGCATCCTCCTCCTCCTCATCCCACGCGTCAATGGCATTTTCATCCCAATTATCCACCTCTTCCTCCAGCGTCTGTCCTTGACCGCCACCGCCACCGGCATTAGTCTCATTCCCTCCAGAAGAAGACGTAACCACACCCTCCTCACGTTCGCCACCGACCCGACCACCCAACCCAGGACCTTCCCCCAATTCCAAATCCTCTGCCCCATTTACACCACCCCCCTCCCCACCCGTCGTCGGCACAGCGGTGTACTTGCGCAATCTCTTCCGCTCCAGCATCCTCTTGTGATACCACGCGCACAGCCCCAAGCCCGTAAACGAGCCCGCAAGGTTGGCTAGCACATTAAGCAGATCAAAGGCGCGTTGCCCGCTGTCGTGAGAAGGTAGAGGAAGAGGGGGTAGGACGATGGCGCGCAGGAACTCGGACCCGATCCCCAGCCCCGCGGCGCATAGGAGGGTCAGGTGAAGGATCCGTCGGCGGGTGGTGTCGAGGGACCAGTAGAAGGCTACTGTCAGGGTGAAGAGGGTGAGAAAGTGGAGGAGGAGCGGGTTGATCGTTGGGAGGGTTGAGGTCGGGCCGTCGGGGTCGGATGGTTGCGAGTGGGGGGTGAGGAGGGAGGTGTAGCCTGCTAGGAGGAGGAGGGTGGCGAAGGCGCCTGTTTGTGGGTGCGAGACAATGGTTTCTGGTGAGCTTTGACTCGTTTCGATCGGGTGTTTGTTTGTTTGGGGATAGGTAGCATGTGAGAGAGCATGGAACGTACCTGCAAATGGTAGACGTATCCTCATGGCGGGGCTATACTTGTAAGGTGCAGTGTGCGGTAGCTACCTGCGGGTAGGAGGGAGCTCTATCGATGCTGGTATCGAAAAATCGATGGGTTTGTATGCGAATCGATGGATGGCGGCTCTTGTCACGGTTTGTTCGAGGTCATTGTTGTGGATCGACAATGGCAGACTTGGACATAACTTAGATGCGAGAACTGGCCGATGTCTCTATCTTACTTGTGCAGTGATGCAGTGCACCAGTCAGGCTTGCGCAAGCAGTCACATCCCTTCAGAGCTCCAGCCTCACTTCACATGCGCAGCGATCGTGGCGTATCAAAGGACGTTCGTTTGATTGGAGGCTGACGCAGGTGAACCTGGGCCTGCAACTGGGCAGGTGGGGCCTTAACTGAAACCATCCGAAAACATTTGCAGCTCCTAACCCTGGCACATACTCGAGCACTGAATTTCAGAGCTCCATGAAAAGGAGACATACTTCTCGGATTGTAGGCGCGCCTTTGCTGGACAGGGATCGTCAACAGTTGAACTATTTCTTAAATCCATCAAATGCATTGATTTGCATCGCATTATCTGACTTCAAGAGATGCGATGCGATACAGTTCAATTGAGCGATGTGATGCAGGGGCGACCACGAGTTTGTTAAGAGTCAGAAAATATGTGGGGTCGTCACATGATATGGTCCTGTGTCTCATGAAAAACCGTTTGTACTGGACGCTATAGAGACTGATGCGTGACTCAATTATGCCTACCAGGCTCGTCTTGAATTGTTATCTACTCGGGCATAATCTTGGATTCATTGACCCAACATTTTCTGGATGACCTGAGCCACGCTTTGAGTGTCACGTGACTTGCTTGTACCCTCCAAATCATGACTGGTATATAACCCTTTGTGACGGCTTTGAATTCAAATGCACAAAAACAAAAGTCTGATGATTAATGCTCTGTTCGCGACCCAAAATCTAGAAATATAGTTTTAGAACCTAATCAGCTGTACTGTGGGCTATGTGACGAAAAATAGGTTTGGGGAGCAAGTACACCATACTCCGTGCTCCGTCCTGCGGCTCTTTTCGATGGCTCGTAAAAAGAGGCTAACCCCAGGTGGGTCCAGCAGGTCGACTGGACCTGGGCGCCTGCTTCCAATCAACCAGGAGTTGACCTCACGTTGTCGCCCCTAATAAATCGACCATCACCCGAACCATCGAGACACGACCACGACATCGCCGATTGTCCCCAAACTTTGCTCGCCAATTCTCCCGACATCGCTCCTTTTGCCCATGTGACCTTGACGCCCTCGACCGCCCCGGAGCCGGCTGACTACGAGCGCGTTTCCGGCGCATGGCGACCGAGCGACCGCCCTCCGTCTAGCCATTCCGGACTCGGAAAAATGTCCATCACTAACAGCCAGCATGCCTGGCACACGCCGGCCGGGAGCCAGGCCAATGCCGGCCGGAGGCACCATGCTGTTGTGGATGATGGCCCGGCGCGGATACAGACGCCGAGCGACAACCCGTTGATGCCTGAGGCATCCTCCGACCCGGACGAGGACCATCGACGCGCCCACTTCGCGAATTTGTTTCGCCGCGCCGAGGACAGGCTCGCGCTGCTGTTTGGCGACAGGGGCGAATACAACCTCTCCGGCCTGGACGTCCTCAAGCGGCCCCCGACACCCCCCGCACCCCTGCTGCCCCCCGCGACCGACCACACGCCCCCCCAAGAGCCGCCCCGCAAGAGGGCGAAGCGCGTCATCGACGAAGATGACTACGGGGACGACGACGATGAAGAAGAGGAGGAGGATAAGGGCGCTGCCCTGCAGTCCAAACACGCCAGTGACGCCGCCGCCAGGACCCTGCTGTCGCCGTCCAAGTCCGGCAGCTCGCCGGTCAACTCGATCCCGTCGCCCGGAAGACAGCCCGATAAGCCTCGAGACGATGGATCGCAACCACAAGCCAAGTCCTCCGAGGACGCGCGCAAGGAACTGGAGGAGGCGCGCAACGCCACCGAAGAAGCCGCCAAGCGAAGCTTCCACACGCTCTTCTACACCCTGGAGCACGATCGGACAGCCATGCTCGAGCACCAGCAGCTGGAGGAGTCTGAGAAGCAGCTGCAAGCTGAGATGGATAAGACAGGGCAGAACCACGCGGACCAGCCTGGACAGCACCATGGCTCGCTCAGCAGCGCGAACCTCGGCGCCTCGAGCCTCACCCTGAAGCACCTCATCGCCAGGATAGACATGAAGCGTGACCAAGTGCGCGCCTCCGACGCCGAACTGCGATCGCTTATGAACGAGGTCCGCAAGAACCGGAGCAAGTGGGCAAGCGAGGAGAATGTCGGCCAGGAGGAGCTCTACGAGGCACTCGAGAAGGTGCTCAGCGAGCTCAAGGCGCACACTGAGTACTCAACTCCGTTTCTGAACAGGGTGAACAAGAGGGACGCGCCGGACTATTACAACTGTAGGTGACGCTCACACGCTGCGCAGCCTTGAGAAAGCTCCGTCTAACACACTACTTAGTTATAAAACAACCCATGGACCTCGGCACCATGACCAAGAAGCTCAAGAGCCTTCAATACAAGTCAAAAGCCGACTTTGTCTATGACCTCAACCTCATCTGGGACAATTGTCTCAAGTATAACCAGGACATGGGCCACCCGCTCCGCCGCATGGCCAACGGCATGCGCAAGGAAGCCGAGAAGCTCATTCCTCTCATCCCTGACCTCGTCATCCGGCCGAGGGCCGAAGTGGAAGCCGAAGAGCGCCGGAAGCAGAACGGCGGCGAGGACGATGTTGGCGACGACAGCGATGATGAGCCAATAATATCCTCTCGCGGTCGTAAAGCAGGCACAAAAGGCACCAATAAGTCCCGGAAAGCGCCAGCCGATTCAAAACAAGGCAAGGAAGGGACCCCGAACGTGGAGCAGAAACCAGTGCTGCAGCTTAACGGGCTCCTTGCCAAGACACACCGGGAAGGCTCCGAGGTGGACGGCAGCAACGGTTTCGCTACCCCTCCGATTGGCGGCTCCCTAACGCCCAGCGGCGCAAACGGCCAGTCCTGCGTCAGCAATGCTGACGCCATGGACATCGATGGCCCGTCATTAAACGGCATCGCTCTCGGCCAAGCGCTCGGCGAGGCAGCAGAGCAGGCCTACGAGGATGACGCCTACAAAGTATGGAAGCAAGTCACAAAGAAAGACCGGGCTCTGATAGCCAAGGAGCGTTACCAGCTCTTTGCTGGCAACAAGCTGAATACGGAGTTGCCCGCTCTTCTCCGGAGCAAGGCCGGCATGCGCCGCTTCCTCAAGGCCCGAAGGGAAGCTGAGACCCTCGGCATCCTGCCGGCTCCCCACAACGATGTTTCGGCGGGGTCCAAAGATGGAGCCCAGGCTCCCGAGACGCTCGCCGAGGGTATGGAAGACGAGGGGGATCGGGCGGTCCCGTCGTACTACGAGCCCCAGACTATCATCCCGGATATCGACCCAAAGCTCGAGTGGGTCGAGGATAGCGAAGGCCAGGTCATTATACACCACGAGGACATGCTACGGCCTGTACCTCCCGGGCACTTCGTCTCGCCACAGAGCCGCCTCACGGGCAGGATCGACGCCAACATACGGCAAATGCAGGAGACGCGCAAGCTCTGCTCCAAGATTGGCGTGATCAAGCAGATGCAGATCCAGACTCACGTAAGTCTCGGTTAGTCTTGTGATACCTGACCAACAACTGACCTCGACAGGTGTACACTAATCAATTCCCCAAATACAACCCGGAGCCGTTCGTAGAAGCCGACGTCGAGCCGGCGTTTCTCGCCGGGGAAGGGCCCGTCATGGCAGGCGAAACCTGCCGATCGGCCATGCAGCGGTCCGTGGCAAAGATCTTTTACCACGCCGGCTTTGAGGAGCTGCAGCCGTCAGCCCTCGACACTATCACCGACGTCGCCGGCGACTACTTCCAGAAGCTGGTTCGCACCTTCAACGTCTACCGCGAGGCCGAGAAGAAGCCGGCCGCGGGCCGCTGGGCCGAGCGCGGTGCCCGCTTCCAGCCCCGCTTCACGCCCGAGGAGGTCATCCTGCACACGCTCAACGAAAACGGCCACGACGTCGACTCGCTCGAGAGCTACGCCCGCGACGAGGTCGACCGCCTCAGCTCCAAACTCGCGCTGCTGCACGAGCGCATGAAGGCCCACCTCGCTGACCTACTCCGCCCGGCTCTGACGGACGGCGGGGCCGACGGCTCCGGCGCGTTCAATGACGGCAGCGAGCAGTTTGTCGGGGGCGATTTTGCGGAGGAGTTGGGTGAGGACTTTTTCGGGTTCAAGGCTCTGGGTCTCGACAAGGATCTCGGGTTGGAAATGCTCTCGGTCCCGCTGCATTTGCTGCAGAGCCGCGTGAGGAGTCAGTACCAGCTGCAGACGCAGCTGGCGGGCGCCGGTGGGCCCGTCGTGGCGGATCTGTTTGAGCCGCTGCCGCCGCTGGAGCCGGTTACCAAGGAGAACATCCAGGAACAGATTGGGCTGGTCAAGAATTTCTTTTTAGCCAAGCTGCATGCCAATGGCGACCAGCCGCTGGTCGAGGATGAGGACCTGCCGGTCAAGCAGCGCCGCGCGAGGCCGAGATTGGGCGCCACGGGGAAGATTGTTAGCCCCCAGAAGAGGAGCCCCAGGGAGCAGATTGCCCTGGCCAAGAAGAAGAAGAAGTTGGATCTGAGTGGCAACGCGCAGGTTACGGATGGGGCCGCTGCTGCTGTGAATGGGAATGTGAATGCGAATGGGAAGGGGGGCGGGAGTGTCTCGCCTGATAAGAGGAAGCAGTTGCAGTTGCAGCAGCAGCAGCAGGTTGGGTTGAGGGGCGGTCCGGTGCTTCCTCCTCCCACATCTCATCCTGGTGTGTCGGAAGGGATTGGGAATGGGAGTGATGGCGGGCTGGCTTTGCCGGGGTTGGAGAAGGGAGGGGGGGATGATGGGGCTAGTCAGATGACGGATAAGGAGGAGGTTGCGACGGGCATGATGAGTCCCGAGAGTTTGGAGCAGAGGTGAGAACCGGCTTTTGTGTTCTTTGCCTCTGGGTGGCATGATCAGGATGGAAGATGATAGAAGGCTTTTTTTGTATTTTCGCTTCGAACTTGTTCTTCGTTCCCCCTTTTGAGTCGTGGAAGGCAGGTATGGCTGGGTGGCTCTGGTTGTTGTGGCTGTGTCCTGCCTGAGGGATATGAGTGGTTCGGTGGTCTGGGTTTGGGACAGGAATGGATACTAGTCTTTTGCAGGTGCGGATTGTTGTTCTTTGATTACTACCTTACTTTCTCATCTTTGGTAGTGAAGGGGTACTTCTTTTCGAGTCTATTGTACCCAGGACACACACTGCAGTCAACCACAGCTGTAGGTCTTTGCATATACGCCCTTTTGCTAATCCTTCATTGCTGCTTTCATTCTGTGTTGTCTTGTTTTTGGGTTCGCAAAAGTGAGCCGTACATAGTACCTACTTAGTAGCTTACATCCCCCGATACCAATGGGTGAGGAGTCGGGTGGCGGTCTGAAGTGGGACGGGATGCTGACAGGCCATGGAGTTGGAAATAGATCCGTCCTTGACTGATGAGGGTGGATGATTAACTATGTCAGGTAGCGAGGGCTTCAATGTTTAGAGATTCGGACTTCATTTGATTCCTGGCGGGTTCCTTGATTATCCCTCCCACCTTGTCTCCTCGTCACTTCTCCGCTTGACCGAACCCGAGTCTCCCTTTCCTACCTATGCTATGAAGTACAATGACAGCCAAAGCTAAACAACACCTTGCTGATACGCTTTTCGACCCGAGTCTCCAGACCCTACGCGCTTCATCATCTCCTATTTGACCTCACCATCACCACCAGACTCGCGATATGCAGATGTGAACACAAAACGTCAGGGAGGCGATGGTCACATGGAGGCACGATGAATATCCCCAGGGCGAACTCACTCAACGTCGTGGCCAGATTTGAACAAGGTGAACACAACCGTCCTGCGTTGCATCAATGGTATCTCATCACATCGAGTTCCCTGCTAAATCGGGCTTTCCTAGTCCCAACCCAGAGCATAACCGTCAATCATACCCATCATTACCTGAACAGCCCACACCATATAGTCGCCATCAACCTTAGAACGTGTGGCGGAACCCAGGCTCGTAGGTATCGTCCTGTTGCCGTGTGTCAGCACAAGTCCAACCTGGAACCTTCGAAACTACCCTAACGGCAAACGAGTGTCCAAACTTACTGCATCACACTCCAACTCCCTCTCGCCCCGGTCCGCCTTCCCGTTGAGGCGGCGAAACTCGAGGCTGAGCACGCCGACAATGATCATAGTCAACAAGGTCGTCGCGATGCAAGCTGCCCAGAAGTTGTCAGTCAGTCATGTCATGCCTGTAAAAGGTGTGCAAAGAATTCAAAGCGAGTTCCAAATCGGCACATACCATACAGGCCCGGCTGATAGTGAGGGGCGTCCTCGCTCCTAAACACCAAGCTACCAGCAATGCCGCCAATACCGCCAAACGACACAAAGGTGGCGCTGCAGAAGGCGCGCTTCCACTGGCCGCGGATGTTGTTGGCCTGGTACGACATGGCGGCGGGCACGTTGGCGTTGGCGCCGGCCGTGACGAGGAAGACGCCAAAGTAGCGGACGGCGGCGTTGGTATGCCAGCCCATGATGGGCAGGCCGATGATGCACAGCAGGTTGTTGAAGATGATGACGGGCCCGCGCAGGCGGTACTTGTCGCCGGCCCAGCCCGTAAACCACATGATAATGCCGGCGAAGGCGTAGGGCGGCGCGACGAGGCACTGAGCCGCGCCGACGCTGAAGCCCATGTTGAGCTGCAGGATGATGGGCATGAAGTAGGCGAGCGCGTACGTCACGGTCGTCGTGTTGAAGAAGATCATGGCGTACGCCCACGCCTTCCAGTCCTTGCCCGCGCGGAGATACTTGACCAGGGAGAATTTCTGCGGCTTGGCGTCACCGCGGTCGGCGTCGACACGAGCACAGATCCTGAATGAGTCTGTCAGTATAAGGCAACCGGGTAGATAAGACTAAGACGACGACTTTGTTGCTGGAGACTTACCACTCGCGCTCCCTCACGCCCAGGAAGCTCCAGTTCTTGCGCCTCGCGTCGGGGAAGTCAACGAGCAGCCAGTAGCCGGCAATACCGAGGAGCATGGTGATGATGCCCTCAATGATGAAGATCCAGCGCCAGCCGTTGAGCCCCGCGATGCCAGCCATTTGCATGATCTTGACGAGTCAGCCCTCTCTGCTTCACCCAAACCGCCAGGGATACTCACCCCGTAGGCCAAGATGCCAGCAAAGGCAGACGCGACGCAGCCGACCAGGTAAAAGACCGAGTTCCGTTTTCCGACCTCGTCTATCCAGCGTCAGTCACCCACTTCCCCTTCTACCCCTTGAAAGAGACGTCCTTACATCTCGTGTACCAGGTGCTCAGCAAGTAAACGCAGCTGGGAAAGAAGCCTGTCCTCTGTCAGCTTCAAGTTTGTAGCCTTCCAACGGCTGGAAAGGGGTCAGGTCACGGTCAGGCAACGCACCAGCCTCGAGGAAACCAAGCAACACTCTCATCCCCGCCATCTCCTCCCACGTCTTGACAAACCCCATGCCCACCATGACGGCGCCCCAGAGCAGCGTGATGATGGCCAAATGGATGCGCGGCCCAATCTTCCGCACAATAACCGTCGACGGCGGCTGGAAGATAATGTAGGTGACGAAAAATACGAGCGAGATGATACTCTATCCCACCCGGCAACAAACACCCAAGCCACATGTCAGCAAACCATATCCACAACACAGCCAAATCTCCAAGCCACAGGATCTCCGTTTAAGGCTTGGGGGGTGGGCGAGAACCGAAAGAAAAAAAAAAAAGAAAACTCACATATCGATTACCAATCAACTTTAAGTCCACGCCCATGCCGGCAATGTTGGCGGCGCCGAGGTTTGTCCGGTCCATCAGGCTGACGCAGTACATAGCGCCGACGGTGAGCACGAGACGGCGGTCGATCTGGCGCTTGATGCGCTTCTGTTCCTCGGGCGAGAAGCCAAAGTCGTCGGCCGAGATGGGCCCGCCGCCGCCGGCCTTGCCATGGTCCGAGTCGGCCCCCTCGACGTTCTCGAGGGTGACTTTTTCGTGCGAGTGCGTCGATGTCATCTTGGGTGGTGTATCGGTTGGTGTCGGGTTGGCTCGGTCTGGATCGTGGTTGTACGGGGGGCCTTAAGGAGGCGGGGATAAGGGGGGAGAGAACAAGAGAGCGGGCTTGTTCTTCTTGTGCGGCGGGATCCCGTCTGGGGAAGGGGAGGGGAGGGAAGGAAGAGGATAGGCGGTTAAAGAGCAAGAACAGACAGAGAGTAGAAGGAAAGGGGGCAGAGATGGAGGGCAGAGGCAATGGATATAAATGTATTTATCCTACGTCACTTGACTAAGGCAAGGTTAGCCAAGGCAACCCGTCAATCTGATCTGGGGAAACGAAACCATCCATCTCAACTCGCTGCTTGGTGTACCCATCCGTTTTCCCCAGACTGCTCCCTGTTACCCCAACCTGTCAACTGAGGAGCCCAAACGTCGACGGTCGTCCAATCGCAAATTCTCGAGCAGGGTCTTTCCTCCCCTCTCCCGCGAACCCTCCCAGCCTCAGAGGCCAAGAACACCCAAGACGAGCCCATCCCGGTAGTACCCACGCAACCACCAAACCATTTCCTTAACTTGTCGTTCCGCTGGAAGTGATACACAGTTCAAGTTTTTGGAAAAGACCCCAGTTCTGGGCCCAGAGCCAGCCAAGGTTTCCCCGCATCTGGGGGTGGATTGTCTTGAGCCAGTCTATCGACGAGCTGGGGCATGCTGTCCGACGAGTCCAATCGAGAGCACCGTTCGATGGAGTGAGGATGGTGCAGGTCTGGACAATTTGCCGTATCCGGGTGCAGAGGCCGTTGCTAGGCAGGGAAAAGGCCCATGTCGTCGCACGTGGGGAAGGAGGTGTGGAAGGGGAAATCGTGGTCGAAGATACGACTTGGCGTCCTGAAGTTGACAGGGGGTCTGGTCCGTTGCTAGCGCGAAAACTGCCGCCGTCTTGCTCCGCAACGCTGAAGCGGGGAAATTGTGCGGAGGCGGGGGGGCGGGGGAAAGGTGGATTCTGTGGAGAGAGACACGAACTGCAGATCATCTCTTCTCTCCGCGTCTGGGGTCGTGTTAGGACCCTAACTAGAAACCCAACAAACACGGTATTTTGAGACTTCATCCTTCCGTCGAGCAAAGAGGGCGTTTTTGAAGCCGAGACGCCGAGTTCTGGTATTGCTTGCGATTGGCTCTCGATCAACAAGGGTTGAGAGGCTCTTTGGAGCGCGGGAATGCACCTCAAATGCCTGCAGCTGAGACGACGCTGGGCATGTCGTCTGTGGCATAATGCCTACTCTCTCATTCGACAACCATGCATCGGTGGATCGTCCCAAGGCACCCTAAGCCACTTGGCGTCGTAAAGGATGGTTCGCTTTCGGGCCCACTGTCGACCAGAACCTCGGTACACTTTGTCGCTTGGACGATTGATTCCACGACCCTTTCGACTGGCGTGCTGCAGCCGGCGTACACTGTTGAAACGAGCCTCAGCAGAACCCAGAATGTCGGAAGAAGCTCCGGGCGGGAAAGAGAGCTTGCAATCCTGAGAGATCATGGATGTCATCGGAGAAAAGTAAGACATGGAGAAATAACCCAGGGGGAAGGAAGGGGACAGACATGGTAGAGGTCACGCGGTCACTTGAGCGCACCACCGCCAAAATCCATCAACGTTTCAACACATCTCGTTGTATTTTACTCTCTAGGGAGCCGCTTGCAATCTGCTTGACGCTGGCTTAACAGCCGAGGCTCAGCTACATCCAGCTAGAATATGCGGAAAGACCCGCTACCATCTGCACGTCGCCCGGAAGTCAGCAAGGGAAGCCCTAAACCTATCTTGGCGGTTGGGAAGGCCCTGACAAACAGGCTCGACACTAAAGCCTGACCGGCACGGTAGGGGATGACGGTGACATGGAGGAATTCCGGCGTATCGGGACCGTCACAGTGGGAACTGCAACCCGGGTGAAGAAGCGATCGAGACGCGCATTGATGAGCCAGCCCCCTTGGCGGAGGACGCCGCCCCTCGATCAGCCTCGGCAGTGGAATCGACCTCGGCTGGAGGATGGCCTGGATCCGCCTTGGCGCTGGCTCGATAGTGTCCTGTGGGTTGCCAGTATCGATCGATCTGAGCTTGCGGATCCTCCGCTTGTTGGCTGCAAGACTTGACATCTCGATCCTTCAGGGCTTCGACTTCATCGAGCTCAAACCATGAAGGTGCCCCGGATTCAGCTTTGATGTTGCCTTGGGCCTGCCGACCTTGGGAAATGGTGGTGTCCAAGCCAGAACCTTGGATCTGGACCCCCTTCGGCGGCAAGGTAATCGTCTTGATCGCGCCACGCCTTACACGGAGTGCCGCCACCGGCGTCTGAGGCTGGGAGGGGTTATCGTCGTTATCATCGTCACCATCGGTGCTCTCATCATCGCTTCCCACGTCGAAAACATCATCTGCAGGAGCTTCATCCAAGTGAGACTCGTTCGATCGACTGGGCCGTACCTCGGGGGATGCGGCGGAATATGCCTCGGGGCCTTCCTAAACGTTGCGCTCAATAAAGGCTTTTTGACGGCTCAGTTTTCTCTGGATTGATGCCGTTCGGTTTCGCTGAGCGCCCAGCTCGGCTACTGCGTTGTCCAAATCGGCCTCTATCCGCTTGGCTCTTTTTTTCGTCTTCCAGGTGCTGATAACGCCGCCCAATGATGCTGCCAAAGCCACAATTCCAAACATACTTACCAGTAAGATTGTTGTGCTATCCCAGCCTGTGCTGGTCTCGCCCCCCTGAGAACTCGTTCCTGCAGTTTTGAGGGCTAGTGCTGCCATTGGAGACGAATCGCTTGGTATCTGTGGATGATGATCGATAGAGGGGGCTGGTTCAGCTTCTCGAGTTGGGAAGATGAGTGGCCATTCAGAAGGTCTAGACCTCCCTTCTCCTTATACACGCCTGATGGAGGGTGAATAACAAGAGAATACGATTGTCTCCTACCCCTTTATCTGGTGACGCTGTTGGAGCTGTGCCGAAGCAACAGGTACGTTCTCTGTTGGGTTCCGAACAAAGGCGGTGCAGCCCAGAACAGTCGTCTGTACCTCTGAGCCTGGCGAGTGAACAGTTCAGTGAGCTGCAATGTCAGAACTAGAATTACGACATTCCAGAGAAGACGAGCAGTTGCTAATGGTGGCTGCCTGATGTGGCTCGGCTGAGTACGGTAAACTTGACTCCGCGGCCTGTTCGACAGCCCCCGTCTCGGGATTCAGCCTGAGCCCGGACTCCATGCCTCCAAAGCGTGAACGTCTCTCCTCAGCCTGCTTCCCTGTGCTCAATTTCCATGGAGTCGTTAATAGAGCCAATCATGACTGGAAAGTCGATCAGTAGCTCCAACCATTGGACTCCGCCTGATCTCTGTAAGAACCGCTTGAGCCCTGCGTAACACGGGCAATAATCGGAACCAAAATATAAACATGAAAGTAAAGCAGAAATAATAGAAAATGAAAAATGAGACAGAAAGCGAAAAAAAGGAGAAGAAGACTCAGGCCACTGAAGGACTGGATTGCAGCGGTGGGACTTCGGGGACTTTCCACGCCGAAAGTCGCGAGTTCGGAAAGAAGTTAGGTAAGTAAATGAAAGCTAGCCAACTCAATCACTAAGCTATCTCAAACGTAGATTTCGTGGCAAAGAGGCAAGTGCTACTCTCAAATCACTCCTCGTGTCAACAACTTGAATCAAATTGTGAGCAGGTGTGGGCGGAGATTGTAGCTAGTAGGGTTTCTGGACTGTTTCCCATGACCTCGAAGCATGATTTGGTACCCAAGACCTTATTCGGTTGCATCCTCTAGGGCCCAGCAGCAACTCGAAAAAAGAAATAAAAAAAAAAATCGTTATACCCGTCCCTCCATCCCAGCTCGAAAGTAACAATCCAAACCTGTTTTTTCTATGTTAGCGTGGCACATGGCGGGCCTTAGTCGGCGAATGGCGAAGGAAAAGGCATCCGGATTGCAAGGCGGAAGGCAAGAAACGTAGAAAATGGGAAGACAAAAAGGAGGGTATAGAGGGGAATGAAAGGAAGAAGGATTAAGGAGAAGGAAGCAAAAGGGAGAAAAAGAAACGAAAGAAAAAGAACATGATAACGTTACAGAGAAGGAAGAAGGAAGGTGAATACCAGACAGTTTCCGTCTTGTTCTCTCTGCGTTCCGCGCCAAGTTATCAAACAACGAGGGTCAGATCGTATGTTCTTGACCAGAACGCCATTTAGGCCATCTCAGCATTCGATGTCATCACAATATGCCTCGCCGTTCCCGGCATACGAGCCTTCCGCAAACGGCGACTAAAATGGCCGAAGTCGGTTAGTCTGGCAGTTGCACCAAACTCAACGCCTGCCGGATATGGAACTGTCGCGTTCGCTTGACTCTCTTCTCGATGCATTCAAGGCATATTCAAAGCGGTGGCGCATCATCCTTTCACACCCCCACCGAGAAGGGGGGTGAGCCAGCAACGAGAGGGATCACCAAGGCGCTTGGAAAAGCTCAAAACAAGAGTCTACGGATAGTGGCAGGAGCCTTCAAGTCCACACCCACTCGGAACCTTGAAACGGAGACATGGGTGCCGC